TATTATGAATAAATAATAGGAGACATTTCAGGTGCCAGCCAAACAAGAGATCCCTTATATAATTTTATTTCATTTAATCTTCACACCACTTCATTAGGTAGGCAATAACTTGTGCTCTAGAAATGAGGAGATCCTGCATGGATGGAGCTCAGTGCTTCTTCACACTGACTATGCTTTAGGATCACATGGGGACTTTTAAAAGTACAAGTGCCAGTCATTAGCACAGATCAAATGTTTTCTGTAGAGCTTTCCCAGTTAACTTGTCCTAGGGCCTGAGGCCAATGAAGAGTAAAAGCTACTGAGATCCCACCATCCTGCCTCCAGTACCTTTTGATTACATCAGGTCATGGAAGTTAGCGTGGGTGGTTGGGAAGAAGTGGTATTGAAAGAAGTTGGTAGGTAGAGGGGATAACAGCCAGCTTAGCATCTATATCACCAGGGAGCAAGCTTTTAATGACCACGACTGAAGGACAGACACATCTGTCCCTTCCAGGGCCAGGGCCAGATGAAAACTTCTGCTTGTCAGCTGTGCAGTGTTGGCTCTTGCCTGTAATTGTAACTACTCGGGAGGCTGAGGTCTGAGGCTCATGGTTCCTGGCCAGCCTGGACAAGAAAGTCCATGAGATTCTTATTTCCAGTTAACCAAAAAAAGTGGAATCGTTGCTCAAGTAGTAGAACACCAGCTTTGAGTGCAAAAGTTAAGGGACAACACCCAGGCCCTGAGTTCAAACTCCAGTATGGCACCAAAAATTAAAAAAAAACAAAAAACCACAAAACCAAAACAAAACAAAAAAAAGTCTTCTTATCTTGTCTCCTCAAACCCTAAGAGGTATTAGATAGTATTTCTAAGAGCCTCACTTATGAGGTGCCCTTACATTCAAGAAATGGAAAAACACTGCCCATCAACAACTTACGGGGCTCCCTATCAAAGGAGACTTTATTGGCTCAATATTTAACAGTTTGATGTCCCAGGAGTAAGTTTCTGTTTCTTGAAATGGATATGAAGGTCCAAAAATGACAGTTATATTGATTTTGTCTACAAGACCTAGATGTAGTTTCCAAGCTTGGGTCAAGAGAATCTCTGTCATTGAGTGGAAGTTCATGGAGATCTCTTTGTGTACTTTCTTCATCTAATCTAACTTCTCTGCTCCACAGCAGGGACCATGTATCTGGAGTCCCTGCTGTCCTTCCCTGTTTATTGATTGATTGATTTAGTTGATTGTGTGTGTGTGTGTGTGTGTGTGTGTGTGAGAGAGAGAGAGAGAGAGGAGGGGGAGAGAGAAAGAGAGAGAGAGAGAGAGAGTGTATTTAGGGCCTGCATACTGTTTCTTAGTTTTTTTTGCCCAAGGCTGGTGCTCTTATCACTTGATCCACACCTCAGCACTGCACATATATTTAGACTACTTCCTCTAATCTTCCATGGATTAAATGAAGTATCAGAAGTCAGCCAGTACTCTTCTCTCCCCCCACTCCCTCTACCTAGCCTGTGATACCAAGAAGGTAGAGTTTAAGACAGCAGGTTATATTGTCTGGAGTCACATAATTCATAAATCACAGGACCTAAATCAGAAAGCTAGGTCACCTAATTCCAAAAGCCAAATGTCACCTTAACTCATCTGTGGGCTTTTTTTGTTTATTCTTTTTTTCTTCAGTTCTGGGGATCAAAAGGCCAGAACCTCAAGTATACCAGTATGCTAGCATGCTGTATTACTGATCTACACCCTGAGCTCTTTTCATTTTATTACATATCTAAGAAAAGGTATATGCAAAGAATTGTCTGTAAGCTAGGTATCAGTGGCTCATGCCTATAATCCTAGCTACTCAGGAGACTGAGATATGAGGATCGTGATTAAAAGCCAGCTCACGCAGAGAAGTCTGTTGGTGAGATTCTTTTTTTTTTTTTTTTTATTGTGAAAATACTGTACAGAGGGGTTACAATTACCTGGGCAAGATAATGAGTACATTTCTTATCAAGCATTGCAGCCTCCTCCTTTGTTTCCACTTCCCATCCTCCCCATCCCCCACCCTCTCACTCAATCCTCCCCTCCCCCCTGTTTGTGGATTCTTATCTTCAATTAACTAGTAAAAAAAAATCAGAAGTAGAGGGTATGGCTCAATTGATGGAATGCCAGCCTTTCAGTAAAAAGCCAAGCAAGAGTGAGTGGCCCTGAATTTAAGCACACAAGAAAAAACAGTCATGTAGTGGGGAAGACACTGAGAAACCATTCATTTTCTGCTAGTTCTTGTTTTGTGGGGTCCTCAGGCTCTGGTGTCTGATTTTTCCCACTCCACTGCTATTTCACAAATAACACTCTTGCCTCATTTCTTCCATTTCCTCCTTGCCTTGCCCCACCCCTCCACACAGGACATCATTTCCTTCCCACAAGCAGGGCTGCTAAGACCCCAGGTGGGCAGTTGGCCACCTGTGCCTTCAGAGTGCCATGACCTTGTTTAACATTTGGCCCTCTCACTTTTCCTTATCAGTGTAAATAGGGGGTTCCCCAGGCTACCTAAAAATTAGACATGTTTTGAGATTTTTTTCTCTTCCCTGGAGCATTCAGAGAAAATACTGGAAGAATTACCCACTTTTTTTCATGTCTTGAGCCAGCTGAGACATGACCAGTGCAGAGGATGCTTGAGCCAAGACATGACTGGGTACTACAGAGGTATGGGCAGGCCCCGACTTCTCTCCCAATCTGTGGTCACCATCAGCACTATTTTGTTTGTCATTTACTTAACTGTACCTAAGTTAGGGCAATAAAATATCTATTAGTGGTATCGTTAAGTATGGTGGGGCAAATCTGTGATCTACTCAGGAGGCTGAGGCAGGAGGATTGTGAGCTCACAAGCCAGCCTTGGACACACTCAACCAAAAAGCAAAATAAAACAATATATCCATTATACTAAATGCGAAAGTCAAGACCATAGCTTATTTTTGCACTGTTTTTTAAATAAGCTCCACGAGAATAGTTATATATCTACAAAAAAATAGAGTTGCTATGTTTCTTACATTGGTGTGCTGCAGTAGGCACAAGTAATGAACCAATGTTTGCATTGCACTAAATTCATACCTTACTCAGATTTCCACTGTGGGTCTCAAACTGCATCTATCTGTCTGTCATCACATCTTTTTTTTTTTTTTTTTTTCCGTGCCATTATTGACTATTGAACTCAGGTCCTGAATACTATCCCTTATTTAGTTTTTTCCCTGAAAGTTGGTGCTTTACCACTTGAACCACACTGCTACTTCTAGCTTTCTGCTTGCTACTTCTAGCTTTCTGCTTGTTGATTAGAGACAAGTCTCAGGTCTCTACCTCCTGAGTGGCTGGGATGACAGACCTGAGCCTCTGGCACTAGGCTTCATCACACCTCTTTAGGGTTGCTTTGTTAATGACAGATTCTTCTCTTTGATAGTTTTGAGGGGTGCTGATCAAGTGTTTTATAGAAAGTCACATAACTAATTTGTCATACTTTCCTCATAATTAGGTTAAGGCCATGAGTTTTAGAGAGGAAGACCACACAAGTCAGGTGCCTTATGGTCTATCACACTGTCGATGTGCTTTGAGCTGTTGATTTTGACTGCCTAGCTGAGGCCAAATTTGTCATGATTATCTGTTATGTGGTTGGTCTGCTCACCTTTCTATACTGTGCCCTGGAAAAAGAGATCAGTCTATGGAACTACTCTCCAAGAGTAGAAAGGAAATAAATCTCTACATTCTCAAGGGTGGCTGCTGTCCTGTTTGGCTTAGATGTTGGTACTGTTGACCTGAAGATATTGTCACAAAAGAGCTCTTTGAAAGCTGACCTTGGAGCCTTGTGCAAGTGGCTCACACCTTTAATCCTAGCTACTCAGGAAGCTGAGATCTGAGGATTGTGGTTTGAAGCCAGCCAGGGCAGGAAAGTCCATGGGACTCTCTTATCTCCCTTAACCACCAAAAATCTGAACATGGAACTATGGTTCAAGTGGTGCAGTGCCAGCCTTGATCAAAAAAAGCTAAGGGACAGAGCCCAGGCCCTGAGTTCAAGCCCCATATCTGCATCATAAAAGAAGGAAAAGCTTCCTTTGGGTCACAGTTCCCTTCTGTTCTCTGTGACCTAAAGCCCAAGTGACAGTGATTCTGTGCTCACAGTCTGAGTATCAGGATGGTCACACATGTTGCATCTGTGTTGACACAAAAGAAAATGCTTCCTAAAGCCTGACAGTATGAAATGTCTTTACTTAATATAGTTCAACACTTTTCTACTTCAGTTCCAACTCTGTGTGTTAACTTAAAAGTAGAAACAACTTACTTCTTGCACTTAGAGGATCTTGTAAAGGTATAAAAAGCATTGTCATTACTATTCAAGGTCTCTGAGTTGTAGTAATTAAGTTACTGTTTTGAAGCTGGGTTCCTGTGGCTCTTTGGGAGGTTGAGATCTCAGGACTGAGGTTTGAAGCCAGCTCAGGCAGAAAAATCCCTGAGATACCAGCAAAAATCCAGAAATAAAGCTGGGCTCAAGTGTAGAGCTCTAGTCTTGAGCACTGAAGCTAAATGGAAATACCCAGGCCTGGAATTCAAGCATGAGTACTGGCGCACATGTGCACGCGCGCATATGCACACACACACACACACACACACAATATAGTTTTGATGGCTTTCTATTAATGCAATACTGTACAGGAAATAGCCTAGTATGTCCTGATAAATTATGTGATTGCAGAGTGTAGAGACAGTGTCGATCACTGGCCTGTGTATGTTTTCTTATGCTAGAGTACTTTTGTCTACAGAAGGCTCTGGGCTAAGGACTGAAATGTGGAAGCTTAGAGACCACAGAGTAAAGCAGCTGGATGTATTTCTGGATGAGTTGTTGAGCTCTACAACTGCTGGTTCTGACAACTGCAATGTATCGAGAAACGGTTATAACGGATTGCATTAGGTGTTTCAGTAGTGCAGTAAGATAGGATTTGTGGGTGAAGAGCATGGCACAGTGAAGCAGCCCTTGTCCTTCTTCTTTTTCAGCACACACACAGAGCACAATGGGGTGCAAAGTCCTGCTTGGCTTCGGTCACCAGATGCTGCGACGGAAAGTGGTGGACTGCAGTCGGGAAGAGAGCCAGCTGTCCCGCTGCCTGAACACCTTCGACCTGGTGGCCCTGGGTGTGGGCAGCACACTGGGCGCTGGTGTGTATGTCCTGGCTGGTGCAGTGGCCCGGGAGGATGCTGGCCCTGCCATTGTCTTCTCCTTTCTGATTGCTGCCTTGGCCTCTGTGCTGGCTGGCCTGTGCTATGGCGAGTTTGGCGCTCGAGTCCCCAAGACAGGCTCAGCCTACCTCTACAGCTATGTGACCGTGGGGGAGCTCTGGGCCTTCATCACTGGCTGGAACTTGATCCTCTCCTATGTCATCGGTAGGTCCCAAGCTCAGCCCTAAGGTCCATGTCCACCATCCCCTTGTGTCTTTTCCTACTTATACTTCTACACATCCTACCAAGCGTACCCATGTCCTTCCTGGGAAGACTGAGCCTGGGTCTCCCCAGAAGGCCTCCTGTGTGTATTGTCTTTTACTTTTATGAGTGATTGAGTTGACTGTGGGTTCAGTCCTCTGCTCTGTGTCCTGTGAGATCAAGCCAATAAAGTCAAGCCTCCTTGAGTCCATTCCTGTTTACTAAAGAGACCTAGAAGTAATAGGTTCATTCTAATTCTAGAAAATAATTTTGTTCCTCTCAGTGTTTTTCCTGATTACTAGAGAAAATATGTCACCAACAGAAAACTTTGAGACATGCATAAAGACACAAAGAAGTAGAAATAAGCTAGGCATTCATGGCTCATGCCTATAATCCTAGACACTCAGGAGGCTGAGTAAGATCTGAGGATTACAGTTTGAAGCTAGCCCCCGCAAGAAAGTACCCCCTAAAAAGCCAGAAATGGAGCTGTAGCTAAAGTGGTAGAGCACTAGACTTTAGTGAAAGAAGCTCAGGGATAGTGTCTAGGCCCTGAGTTCAAGCCCCAGAACTGGCGCGCGCGCGCGCACACACACACACACACACACACACACACACACACACACACACACACACACACACACACACACACACACACACAGTTAAAAAAAAACCAATCAGACAACTCATTGATTCATCCATGCATTTACTATTTATATCAACACGTGAATTATTTATTGAGTACACAGAGCATTTTTTAATGGTCTATGCCAGGCATTTTTGCTGGAGATTAGGATATGATCAAAGAATGTGACAGTCACTGTTCATGAGTGTTTACTAACTAGGGATATAGCCATGACTAATATTTAAATGGTAAATATAAATGTATTGGAGGCTGTGATGTTAAAGAATGAACCTAAAGCCTTGTGAATATGTTTTACCTCTGAGTACATCTCCAACTCTAAGTGTATATTTTATACAATGAGTCTGTCCACTCTCAGAGAACCTTATACCTGGTTCCATTGATAGCTTGCTGACAGGGTCCTTCATCTTTGCATTGAAGATACCACTGCTACCTCCCCAGATAGTAGGCAGTCTAGTATTTGGGCTTCTTTTCAACATCTGCAGCATCTGCTGAGAGCCAATAAAGCTTACTATATAATAACTTCTAAAATAAAATTCATAATGGCTTTTTCACCCCCAACACAACATTAAAACTTGTAGCCACAGATGGAAGTCTCCCAGTGGGACTGGAGTTATTTTAAATAGACTGTTACGCTCTCTGGAAGTATAAAACAAAACAGTGAGCATGGAAGGTTGGCTGCTTTATCTTTGCCAGAGTACTATTTGCCTGTGTGACACCCATGAATCTATTAGGGAAATTTATTCTGTTTCTTAGCTACTGGGGAAGAGTTTTTCCAGTCCCCCCACCAATTCTTTTAAAGTAATGATTCAGAAATGGAAAGGGGGCGTAGGCTGGGAAGAAAGGTTGAAGCACTCCTGGCATAGAGGCAGGGTGGAGCTTGGGAACCTGCTTACAGTGAGCTGGCCACTTTGAGAGTTCAATGAAGAGGGTACAGGGAAACTATTTTTATTTGTGGTCTTCATGGAGAGAATTCACATAGATTACTGTTAGGATAAAATGTGCCTAAAGCTTTGGGTTGTTGGGGAAATATTCTACTTGAGCTCCAGGAGTGAAGTTCAATCATTGTGCTGATCACTCTGCCAATATTCTGTGGGTAATTCAGTTCATGGTCATGGTCAAGTCCCTCTGAGAAGAAAGGAATATGCTGTATGCAGAAATTAGAATTTTAGTGACTTTTCCTGACAAACAGCCACTGGAAAACAATGACGTGTCTTCAGAATTGAAAGAGAGAAAAAGAGAACAGTGGATGGTGATGATGTGGGCCTTATTTATGTTCCTTGGTGCTGAGGGACAGGTGTCCCCCGTGGAATTGAAGAGGTAGAGTTTCACCAGTGGGAGACCACAATTCTGAGCTGGGTAATATAAGCCTAGTTAAGTCCAAAGTGGCAGAAAGGCTGAAAGCTGAGACGAAATCCAGCTTCTTTGTGGATCTCCTTAGAGAGTAGCACTTGGGGCATGGGTGCCATCAGCCCTGCCTGCTGCCTGGGGTTTCTGCTTAGGAAACAAGGGTTTCCTAAGTGATTGCTAAGGGTTTTTCAAGTGGTTGCTTAATACTTAGTTCCCTAATGAAATCAAATAAGTACAGTTGAATAAATAATATTGGAGTGTTTCATAAAAGTAGCTATTACTGTGTAAGACTTCCATCTTGATATATATACTTACATTGTTTTAAATGTGCGTGCGTATGTGCGTGCGTGTGTGTGTGTGTGTGTGTGTGTGTGTGTGTGTGTGTGTGTGTGTGTGTATTCTCCATTTATAATAGGTTATATCCCAGTGACCTCAAGGTGAACATATCAAGCCAGGCTGGGGGTATATGCCTATAATCTCAGCACCTGAAAGGCCTCTGAGACAGGAGGATCGTGAGTTTTGAGTCCAGCCTTGTTTGATCCTGCCTCAAACAACTGGAAAAGAATGAAAATACCAGAAGCAAAAAATATGGTTTATTCACCTAACCTTCACACATCCAGGCTTTGAAGCAGTGTCTTTCATGTTTCCTGGTCAGCATTGCAGAGCTGTCAGCAAAAGATCATACCAGTATTGCTGATTCTAGAAAAGATCTAATTCAGAACTCAAAGTCTAGTTTATCTACTGAGTGCACATTACTTTTTACACCACTGTTTGGGGAAAAAGTCATTAAAATTTAACTTTCAATCAGGGTTCACCCTTGTAAACCAGGGTGTATGGCACACACACATACACACACACACACACACACACACTCCACAAAACACATAGGATACCATGCAGTCCATGTATAGGGAATGAGGTAAGTCAAAAACTCACCTCTGTCCCAGCCCCACCTCCTCCCTTTCTGTTTAGTACGTATTCCAGTCTCACTGCTGTGGAAAGATCTGATTATACTGTGATCCCTGTGTGGATGAGATACATGCAGAGCTCGCTGATGAGGACCAAATTAACTACTTCCCTTCACTGGCTGCCATGTGTTTTGTGGCAGGTACGTCAAGTGTGGCAAGAGCCTGGAGTGCGACCTTTGATGAGCTCATAGGTAAAAGCATTGGAGAGTTCTCCAGAAAGCACATGGCCCTCAATGTTCCTGGCGTGCTTGCTAAAAACCCCGACATATTTGCTGTGATTATAATTCTCCTCTTAACAGGTAAGAGCCACATTTTTTTGTTATATCTAGACTTGTTTTATTGTTAAGATGCTGTACAGAGGGGTTACAGTTACATGAGTAAGGCAATGAGTACATTACTTGTCCATCATTGTTACCCTTCCCTTCCTTGTTGTTGTCCCACTATCCCTTCCCTCCCCCACCTCCCTCACTCCTCCACTGGCCTCCCCAAGTTGTAAAGTTTGTTTCCAGTAGACTGTCCTGTGGAGTATCCTTGTTGCTTGCACTGGATCATCTTGTGTCTTTGTTTCAGCATTTTGTTATTCCCTTTCCCCTCTCCAGATTAGACAAATGTATATACAGGATGCAGGGTACCAAAATCAAGTACAGTGACAACAGGGGATATGCCATAGGGGAAAGAACATACAAAGGAAACAACAACAACAACAAAAATAAAATCTCATGGTACATTTGAAACAATAATAATAAAAAGACCTCTTGTTCATATCTTGCTTCATTTCACTTAGCATCATCTTATATGGTCATTTGTACATGTTTTTTGAGCTTTTCAGCTCATCTGATAAGAATATCCTATATGTATACTAATTATTGCAAATAAGGGAAACCATGGGCCCTAAATTTCTTTGGGACTGGGTAATTCTTTCCAAGTCTTTCCATTTCCTAACAAATTGGGCAATGTTGTTCTTTCTGATGGAAGCATAGAATTCCATTGTATATATATACAGAGGGGGCATCTAGGTTGGTTCCATATCTTAGCTATGGTGAATAACGTTGCAATAAACATAGTTGTGCTGGTAGCTTTACTATGACCTTGTTTGTGATCATTTGGGTAAATGTCCAAAAGTGGGATTACTGGGTCATAGGGGAGCTCTATGTGTAGTCTTTTGTGGAACATCCATACTGCTTTCCAGAGCAGCTGAGCAAGGGCCACATCTTGAAAGAGATTTAATTCAAGCATGACAGGTTCCTATTAAGTTTTTTTTTGGGGGGGGGGTTGTTTTTGGCTCTGCTAAGTATGGAACCCATGGCCTTACCCATGCCATGCTCGTGCTATGCCACTGAGATGCAGTCCAAGTTCATGTTTCTGTTCTTTGGTTTCTGTGGGCTTTTTGTTGTTGTGTCCTTTAGTCCCTTTCCTATTTTGTCTGCTTTTGTAATGCACAGACAACTTCATTTATTTGTTTCTACTCTAATGGCTTCTTATAGTCCACATAGGGTTGACCTGGCTAATCAATAGCTGTTGAAATGTGTATTCTTCACAGAGTTAAGATTCTGCTAGCACTGAGGATACTTTATACCTTTAACTCACGAATAAAAAATCCTTTTGAATCAATGGGTGGCCATTTGGAAAGACACGAAATGGTCACTTGTCTGTCAGGAAAGTGCAGGAATGAACTCTGCCTCAGACACTAAGGTGTGCCCGAGCATTGAAAGAAATCTTGGATAGATGGGCTCATGCCTATAATTCCAGCTACTTAGGAGGCGGAGATCTGAAGATCTGAATTGCCAGCTCAGGCAAGAAAGTTCATGAGATTCTTACCTTCCATTAACCAGAAAATGCTACTGGTCTACAGCTCGAGTTATAGAGTGCCAGCCTTGAGCAAAAAAGCTAAGAGATAGTGCCTGGGCCTTGAGGTCAAATCCCAGTACTGGCACACACACACACATAAAAGGAAAGAAAAACAGGTAATTTTTTTTCATCTAACAGCCACCAAAATACCCTTTCAATAATTAAGTTGTGGTTTTAGACTCTTTAACTTCCAGGTACTACTTGTCATTGACAATGGCTGCTCATTGTTACTGACATTTGTCCAAATCTTAGCCACAAGGATGGCATTTTTTTTTTTCCTGAGGAGTATTGGGTAGCTGCACATGAAGCTAGAAAGCAGCTTGATCTCTTGATGTTAGGGAATCTTACAGAAGTTTTAAAAATAACATTTCTTACTTTACAAACATTTAATCAAAATAATCTTCCTCAAACTCAGTCCTGGCAGTATTTCTGGTCCAGCTGGCAAAGTTATGTATCAGAAAATAAGTTTGAACTACTGTAGTGAGATTTTCATTTTCATAAACATGAGAGGGAAGGACACTAAAGAAAACATGTATTACAGTATGATGATGTTGCCGCTTTGTGATTAGTTTACTCCATTCTCTCCTAATATCTACATTTCAGTATTCAACTTAATGTGCACTGCAGTTTTTATTTTAAGAGATAAAAAGGCAGCCAGTACTGGTGGTTGGTTCATGTCTGTAATCATAGCTTCTCAGAAAGCTGAGATTTGAGGATCATGATTCCAAGTGAGGCTAGGCACAAAAGTTCGTGATACTTTTATCTTTAAATAACCCAGTGACTTACATATTTCCAGTAGTAAATCCTTTTCTTACCACATAGGCCACAGGGGGATACTTAAGAACCCCAATGTAGATGTCGTGAAAACCCTAAGGTGGTACATGGGGTTACTGTGCCAATTCACTACTTGGTGGTTTTTATTGTCATTTTGTTCTTAGTATGAATCTAGCGTTGACACTATTTTATACACACTGAATTCCAGAGAGGAACTAATGTAGATCTGTGTTAGTTATTCCAAAACCACAAATAGTTGCTACTGCCAACATGACTAATGTCCCAAAGTATATTTAAATAATTTCCTCATCTGAAAAACTCCCATCCTACCAAGAAGTTAAGCCAAGTGATTTTTCCTTGGAGGAAATAAATTCAGCAATAGAAGATGGCTTTCCTGTAATGTCTTTCCCACAGCAGAAGCAGCTTGGTGTGGGGGTCAAGGCCCTAACCCTATGCCCCAGGGCCTTGTTTGTTCTCCATGGAAGGGGGATAGAACTGTGTTTCAGACCTCTGCAGCCCTGTGGGTGGTGCCCTAAGTTCCTGAGGGGACCCAGAACATCCACCCAGATAGATGGATGATGAGGCTTCCCACACACTTGGGTTATTTAGGTCCTTGCTCTTAGAGAGAAGGTGAATTTAGCTCTATTCCCAGAGGCTGTCAGAGGTCTTTGGAGCTGGGTGATTTTTCTTTTTTATTCTCTTCCTGTCCCTATTTTTGTGTCCCCCATTCTCATCCCTGAAAGGACTTGCCTGGCATGTAGTTAAAGTTTCTATTTGTACCTTTTTTTTTTTTTTAGGAGTTTTAACTTTTGGTGTGAAAGAGTCAGCCATGGTCAACAAAATATTCACCTGTATCAACGTTCTGGTCCTGGGCTTCATAATGGTGTCCGGATTTGTGAAAGGATGCATTAAAAACTGGCAACTCACCAAGGACAATTACTTGAATATAACTGGCTGTGAGATCACCCAGGAGCATTTCTTGAATATATCTCGCTGTCAGAGCAAGTAAGTTCTTTCTTCTGTTTGTTAGCATGTGCCAGTACTCTCCATTCTTTGCATTTAGTACCATGTCACAATCAGGGAATACAATTGGTGAGGATAATGTGTATCTTTATTTTATTTTATTTGCAGGGGAAGGATTGTGGGGCCTGAACTTGGGGTCTAGGTGCTGTCCCTGAGCTTTTTCACTCAAGCCTAGCACTGTACTACAGAACCACTTCTGTTTTTCTGGTGGTTAATTGGAGATATGAGACTCAAGGACTTTTCTGCCTGAGCTGTTTTGAATTGTGATCCTCAGATCTCAGCCTCCTGAGTAGCTAGGATTATAGGCAATGCGCCACCAGTACCTGGCATATGTACCTTTAAGAATTTGGTGTATTTTGTTAGATTATTTTGTTTTGCTTTGTGCACAGTCACTGTGGGTGGAAGGTATTGTTTTTATTGTTTTGTTTTGACTTTGAGAAAAGAGTCTTATTACCCAGTCCAGGCTGGGACTCTGTGACCCTATGGGCTTAGCCTCTTGAGTACTGGGATTACAAATGTGCCACCATCATACCTGGCAAGTGTATTTTGTTGTTGTTGGTTGTTGGTTGTGGGGCTTGAACTTGGCCTAGGTGCTGTCCCTGAGCTCTTCAGCTCAAGGCAAGCACTTGACCACTGAGCCACCATCCCAGCCCAAGTGCGTTTTTTGTTTGTTTGTTTATGGTTCAGGACTGTTGTCAGTCTCATTGAGCAATCTCTTTCTCCTCATACTTGGTTATATGATCTCTAAATTTTACATTCAAGCTAAGAAGTCCGCTGGACTCCATCTGAAAATGATGAGAAAGCAGAAGCTCAGGGTGACCAGGTACAGGTGGCTTTTGTTTATTATCACAGCAGACTTGGGAGGCTGAGATCTGAACAGACAAATCCACAGTTAGGAGAGTGACTCCAAGTGGTAGAGAAGTAGAGCCACAGCTCAAGGTGCTGAGGGTTATTCCCCCCCCCCCCCCCCCCCCACCTTTCTGTGGTACCTTGGTGATTCCAATTTTTCTCAATAATGCCTTCCTATGATATTAATATTTGGAAAAAGTATTTTTCAAGTGGATCATTCTCCCACTATAATTACATCTTTTTAACGTTATGTCTTTTTAAAATCTTCTTTGACAGATTTTTCTGTTGAGTCTTATGTTCCAGGATGGATAATAAATAGGATTCAATTTTGTCTGCAATTCTGTTTTCCTTTCAGGGAAAAAAGTTAAATTGCTGTGACATGGAGATCCTCCTAAGGTCTTTATTTATAGTGGTGGCTTTATTTAGTGATGTCTCAAGTCCTACATAGAACAGCCTAGGATAGCTAGCCAGCCTGGTATCCATCTTTTTTTCCCTTCTCTGCCTGGCCAGCACTACCCTGTGTACACAAGCTCACAGGAGAATAGAGGAGAATTGAAAGGAAAATAGAGGGTGCCCAGGCTTCTGAGGGTAGAACTGGGCAACACGCAACCCTTGGTGTCCATTCTCTTGTTGAACGTCTGGGGAGTGGACACACGCCAAGATCTTGGCCATCACATGCCATGGTCACTGAGGAACACCAGGTGTCCTGTCCCTCCCAATCAATGCTCAGGCATTGATATCACTATGATACTGGAATCAGAGAAGTGTTAAGAGTAGATGCATGAAATTCCATCAACTGTATTAGTATGTAGTTATCAGCAGTGCATCTGGCTGATAGTTTCCTAAAGTCTTGGTCAGGAGCATGTAGGAAAAGTCCCAGTGGTTGGGGATTTTTCCCTGGAACCCCTACCTCCTAGCACCTGCCTCCTCCCTACCAGTCTCTTTAGCAGATGCTTCTGAAAGGGCTAGTTGTTAGAGCCATCAGAGCCATTATAGCTGTGGACTTTGGAATGTTGTGTCTTAGGGTCTGAGACCCCTGATGTGGCAGTAATTGGCTATCACTTATCTTCTGGAGCTGATTGCTGTTCCTTAGGCAGGACTACACAACAGATGTCTTAAGTTTTTGACTGGCTCTTTCTAGTGATACCAGCGCACTAGGTAATGGAGGATTCATGCCCTTTGGAATTTCTGGCATCCTATCAGGAGCCGCGACCTGTTTCTATGCCTTCGTGGGATTTGACTGCATCGCCACCACAGGTAGCTTCCCTCCTAGTCCATGCCTTTGCTCCCCTGGCAGACAGGTGGCAGTCATACTCCCCTGTTGGCACTTTTCAATGACCACTTGTCATTACACTGGAGTAGTTTGTAGATTTCTAGCTTCCTGCTAGTCTCCCTTCCCCCACATTAGCATTTCCCTTAGAGCCAGTGCCTATGAGAAACTGCATTGTACCTGTGAGTAATGGTTCTGATGTCTGAGTGAGACCATGACAGCATGGCTGTGGCCTGATTACATATCTGTACCCTCTGGGAAAAAGGAAGCCATGAAAACTAGTGTCATCCTGGTGGGTTTTAATAAAGCCATCGCCCTCAAGTATCCCAGATTTTCTGCAGTAAGTTTCTCCCTTAGCTGACTTAAGGCTGAGAATGCCTGTGGGCTGTGACCCTCCCCTGTGTGTTTTTAAGGGCCATCCCTTAGTTATAGAAGTCCAAAGGCTGAGCACTGAGGGTGGTTATTGGTGCCAGGCGGGCTTCCTGCAGGAATGTGATCCCTCTGCCATCCTGTACTCCCGGCTGATTTCTCTGCTGCTTCCAGGTGAAGAAGTCAAGAACCCTCAGAAGGCGATCCCCGTGGGCATTGTGGCATCCCTCCTGATTTGCTTCATTGCCTATTTTGGGGTCTCGGCCGCCCTCACGCTCATGATGCCCTATTTCTGCCTGGATCCAGACAGCCCATTGCCTGCTGCCTTCGAGTACATTCACTGGGAAGCCGCTAAGTACGCAGTGGCTGTGGGCTCCCTCTGTGCACTGTCTGCCAGGTAAAGAGAGGGAAGTATAGTGCTCTGGGAGGGTGGAGGCTGTGTAGACAGGAAGCCAGGCATACAGATCAATTGTTAATATATATTCCTTTTCCCCTGAATTCAGACCAACATCCTACTTCTAACCCTCACTGTGTGAACACCTCTTTTTTTTTTTTTTCCCGGTTGTGGAGCTTGAACTCAGGCCCTGGGCATTGTCCTTTGCATGGTGTGTGTGTGTGTGTTGGTGGTGGTGGTGGTGGTGGTGGTGGTGGTGGTGGTGGTGTTTGGATGTGGGGTTTGAACTCATGACCTGGGCATTGTTCTTGAGCTCTTTTGCTCAAGGCTAGTGTTTTACTCAAGGCTAGCCATAGCCCCACTTCCATGTTAATTTTTTTTTTGGTTGGTTGTGGCCACAATGCCAACTCCCTGGGCACTGTCCCTGAGCTCTTTTTGCTCAAGGCTAGAGCACTAGCACTTTGAGCCATAGTGCCACTTCTGGTTTTTGAGTAGCTCGTTGGAAATAAGAGTCTCATAGGGACTTTTCTGCCTGGGCTGGCTTCGAGCAGTGATCCTTAGATCTCAGCCTCCTAAGTAGCTAGGATTATAGACACGAGCCACTGGCTCCTGGCTTTTTCTTTCAGCCTGAGCTGGGTGTTGTCCTTTCCCTTTTTTTTTTCTTTTTTTGGGTCCGGTTGTGGGGTCTGAACTCTGGGCCTGGGCACTGTCCCTCAGCTCTTCAGCTCAAGGCAAGTGCTCTACCACTTTAGCCACAGCACCACTTCTTGCTTTTTTTTTTTTTTTTTCCTGCTTATATGGTGCTGAGGAATAGAACCCAGGGCTTCATGCATTCAAGGCAAACGCTCTACCGCTGAGCCACCTTCCCAGCCCCAATCTTTTCCCTTTTTCACTCAAGCCTGGTACCCTTCCACTTACCACTTAAGCCACACAGGCTCTGTTCCTCATTTTGGCCCTTGGTTTGTCTGTAAAGCAGGGGCTCCTGAGGAAGGTAGTAAGCCTCTCTTAGTGAGAAGCCTTTTGCCCCTGGTATTTCCTGAAAGCTTATGTAAATAGCAACTATATTCAATATTGATTTGCCACAGAGAAATACGAATGCAGTAATGCTTTTATTTTGTTTCAGTTAGCTTGAAATCATTTCAGAAATAAGTGCAAAAATTTTCCTTCATAAGTATTACTCCTGGGATCACATGCTATTGTTTTATTTTCTTTTGGCTGCCAGTCTTGAAACTTGAACTCAGGTGCTTGGGCACTGTCCCAGAGCTTTTGTGGTCAAAACTAGTGCTCTTCCACTTGAGCCAGACCTCCAGTTCTGGCTTTTTTTTGTTACCAGTCCTGGGGCTTGAACTCAGGACCTGGGCACTGTCGCTGAGCTTCTTTTGCTCAAGGTTAGTGCTCTATCACTTGAGCCACAGCACCACTTCTGGCTTTCTCTGTATATGTGGTTCTGAGGAATTGATCCCAGGGCTTCATACATGCAAGGCTAGCACTCTACCACTCAGCCACATTCCCAGCCCCCGATTCTGGCTTTTTTTGTGGTGGTTGATTGGAGATAAGAGTCTTACAGACTTTTCCTGCCTGTGTTGCTGTGCTGGCTTTGAACAATGAATCTGCAATCTTAGTCTCCTGAGTAGCTAGGATTACAAGCTTGAGCCACTAGCACTGGCTACTTTGTTGTTGTTATTGTTTTCCCCCCCGTGGGTGTATTTGCTGTGCTGGGGTTTTTGTTGTTGTTTTGTGTGTGTGTGTATCATTACTGGGGCTTGAACTCAAGGCCTTGGCTTTTTGGTCACAGCTGGTGCTCTACTGCTTGAGCTATGCCTCCAGCTCTGCTTTTTGATGGTTAATTGGAGATCGGGTCTAATGGACTTTTCTGCCTGGACTAGCTTCAAACTTCAGTCATATGGGTCTTGGGCCTCCTGAGTAGCTAAATTTACAGGTGTGAGCCACTGGCACCCAGCTTACATGCTACTTTGCATGAGCTGATCCCCGTTTGTTTGTCTTGGTTCACACATATGTATTTTCTCTGGAATTTGTTTATTAAGTGCTGGGTCTTAGAGCCATAGGGCATCATGCAGAATCATGGAAGCAGTTCTTGGTGAGAAAAAGGCGCTCGATCTACAGTAGTGAAGTATGGTCACATAGGATGTCTTTGTGGCTAGGAAGAGGTTTCACTCATGTTTTTGTCTTTTCCTCCACTCAGTCTTCTGGGCTCCATGTTTCCCATGCCCCGAGTTATCTATGCCATGGCTGAAGATGGACTGCTATTTAAATCTCTGTCCAAAATCAATAGTAGGACCAAAACACCAATAATTGCAACAGTAACCTCAGGTGTCATTGCTGGTAAGTACTGGAATTCATTTCTCATGCCAGTATTTAAGAATCATTCCCAGGGAGATATCTTAATTTATCTTGAATTGTTTGGGTTTTTGGTGTGCATTGTACTCTCAGCTTTTTCATTCAAGCTGCCTCATTCTTATTTGAACCACACTTTCACTTTTTTTTGGCATTTTGCTGGACAGTTGGAAATGAGAGTCTCACAGATGGGTCTGCCTGGGCTGAGTTCAAACTAGTATATTGAAGTAATTGCAAATAGTAAAAGATTTTTTTTTTCGCCATTTATACATAATTTGTTCATATTAACACTAGTTCAAATTAACACTAATTTAAATTTCTTCCTGTGATGGCAAAAGTCTTTCCTGTGACCATAAAGTACATGGCATTTCCCAACCCAAGAAGTACTCCTTTTCATCTGTGAGGAGTGGGGGGCAGTTTTTTATCTTTGGTGCCACTTATTCATTATTTCATTCATAATTTCAATGACCATATTGGATTGTCTTTTTATTTCATTTTATTATTAAGATGCTGTACAGAGGGGTTAGTTACATGAGTAAGGCAATGAGTACACTACTTGTCCATCATTGTTACCCCTTCCCTCCCTTCCTTGTTGTTGTCCACTACCCCTTCCCTCCCTCCCTACTTCTCCTCACACACCCCCTACTCCCCCACCAACCCGAAGTTGTAAAGTTCGTTTCTAGTAGACTGTCCTTGGGTATCATTGTTGCTCTGGGTCATCCTGTGTCCTTGTTTCAGCATTTTGTTATTCCCCTTCCCCTCCCGAGACTAGACAAATGTATATACAAGATGCAGGGTATCAAAATCAAGTAGAGTGACAACAGAGGATATACCATAGGGGGAAGAACATACAAAAAAACATCACATCATGCATTTAAAACAATAACAACAAAGACAGAACTCTTGTGTCCATATCTTGGGGTGTATTACACTTAGCATCATCTTATATGGACATATGTACATGGCTTTTGAGCTTTTCAGCTCATCTGATAAGATTATCCTATATGTATACTAATTATTGCAAATAAGGGAAACCATGGGACCTAAATTTCTTTGGGATTGGCTTACTTCACTTAATATAGTTTTTTCCAAGTCTTTCCATTTCCTAACAAATGGGGAAATGTCATTCTTTCTGATGGAGGCATAGAATTCCATTTTATATATTTACCACATTTTCTTGATCCACTCATCTACTGAAAGGCATCTGGTTGTTCCATATTTTAGCTATGGTGAATAATGCTGTGATAAACATAGTTGTGCTGGTAGCTTTAGTATGGTCTTGTTTGTTTTCATTTGGATAAATGCCCAAAAGTGGGTTGCTGGGTCATAGGGGAGCTCTATATGTAGTCCGTTGAGGAACCTCCAGCTTTTTGTAACTCCTCACATGGAAGAAATTTGTCTTGGGTTTTTCTGTGAGTAGGACTGTGGGCATTTGTGGAACACACAGTTGGATACTGTTCTAATTATCCATATGGCTTTCATTGCTTTTTAATTCTGTTATTTATCTTCAATTTAAATCTATTTGCCTTGCATTGATCTAGGTGAGCTCCAGATGTAATAGTGGGAAAATCATGGCTTGGAATCATATGGAATATGGAAATACCTACTTGGAAGTAGCTCTTGCCAAGTTCTTTTGTCAATGAGAAATGACATATTTTGATATAGATACACATATCTTACAGAAATTAGAGATGATTTTCAAATAAGCACTTATGCTTATTCTTACTAGTAATCTAAAAATTTTAAATTCTTTAAGTAGTTGTACAAGGGGTTTTAATTCAACATGTCTAAGTCTGAGTATAATAAATCTAGATCAGTGTCACTTCTTCCATTATTCTGCCCCCATATCTGCCAACCCTACTCATCACCTCAAGTGACCTAGTTGTTAGTGATATTTTTTTAAGTTCTGGAGATTGGACCCAGGCCCCTGTGCAGACTAAGCAAGAGATCTGCCATGGAGCTACACCTCCACCCAAAGCATTCGTGTTTAATTTTCTTGTTTGTTTGTTTAAGGCCTGGGAGCAAGGATTTTGGGTATTGGGGGAAGCATCCCTTGGGAATACCTCATCAGATTTCTCCCATGTAAAGTATTTTCACACTGGAGGAACCACAGCTTTCCCTGTTCACCTGTTGGTATTAGGAGGACTCTTGTCAGTCCTCGGGGGTACCAGACTTGCCTCCCTCTACCTCTCCATCGGGCATGTGTCTTGGGAAAATATTCTCTAGAACAGCAGGGACTGTGGTCTGCTTTAGATCACTAGAACTTAGTGACTGGTCCCCTCTTAACCAGTGCTGCACTGTGGGAAGGAAGGGAGGGAGGGAAGGATATGACATGAGTCAGTATTATGCTGAAGAAGTCAACTAGACTCAGTCATAAGATCCCGGCTCTTCTGTTCACTAGCTATATAACCTTAGATAACTTTCCTAACCATTATATGGGAATGGCTTGAAAAAGTGTCGTGAGAATCAAATACTTTTCATTACTCTTTACAGTATTTTTTGTTAAAAATGTTAATTATTGATGCCACCTCTTTTTAAATTTTTTATTCTCATTATAAAGGCGATGTACAGAGGGGTTATACACATCAGGAAAAGAGTACATTTCTTTTTGGACCACGTCACCCCTTTCCTTGCAATTTGTACCATCTTTTGAGGATTGCATGTAGGCTTTTTGTTGTTCTTGTTTGTTTTTTGGTACCAGTCCTTGGGCTCAAACTCAGGGCCTGGGTGTTGTCCCTGAGCTTCTTTTATCCAAGGCAAGTGCTCTTACCACTTAAGCCAGAGATCCACTTCTAGCTTTTTGCTGGTTAATTGGAGATAAGAATCGCACTGACTTTCCTGCTGGGGCTAACTTTAAACTTCAATTCTCAGATCTCACAGTCTCCTAAGCAGCTAGCAAATACAGATGGGAGTCCCCAGCGCCTGGCTCTAATTGTGTGTTTTACTCCTGAGTTTGTGTTCCTTGAACAGCGTCCTCCTGGAGTGGAGCTGGGGGGTAGTGTTAAAAGCAACAACCTCTGTGTTCCCTCTGGATCACGGGTGGGTGGTGGCCCCAGCTGCTGGTGTGTGCAGAAGGTCATTCACAGATCCTGACGCCTGTCTCCTCTCCAGCTGTGATGGCCTTCCTCTTTGAATTGAAGGACCTGGTAGACCTCATGTCCATTGGCACTCTCCTGGCTTACTCTTTGGTGGCTGCCTGTGTGTTGGTCTTACGGTATGTATGGCTTCCTGGGTTCCATCATCACAGTTAATTGAAGGTGCAGCAGTGTAGCTGCTCCGTTTATATGGTCTAACTTTATATGTTTATATATACTAATATTTATATGTTTATATATAACCATTTATATGGTCTAACTTTATAATGGTTTATGTGGTCTAACTTTTACGTTGGTGACAGCTTTATTGAGGGTAGAGAGCCTGGTGGGAGCTTGTTCTCAGAGACAAGGGTAGCCCCCTACTTCCTCCACCGTTTATCTGTTCGCTGTTAGGAGGATCAAGAGCTTAGCACCAGTGTTGGGTTTGGGACTTGGGATCAGAATTTTTGAAGATTTAGGGTAATGACTTCAATTGGTCCAAATTCTTAGGGCAGAGGTGTCCAGTGGTTGGCCCCTAGAAAAGGGGAAAAGCCAGGGTCCATGAAGCTCAGCAGGTTGCCTCTAGCTGGTTGCACTGTACTGGGGGAAATGAATCCCATGACGTGGTATATGGGCTTCAGTTTTCCTTCTCTATGGGAAGACATGGCTCACTTTAGGAATGTTCCAAATGGTGTTCATTATGAGAACATGTGTTCGTGGGGATTCTAGTATTAGTCACCCAGCAAAGACTCCTTTTTTTTCTTCTTAGTTCACATTTGCAAGGCTTCCCTCCCTTCCTCCCTCCCTCCCTCCCTTCCTTCCTTTCTTCCTTCCCTCCCTCCCTCCCTCCCTTTCTTCCTTCCTCCCTCCCTCCCTCCTTTCCTCCCTCCCTTCCTTCCTTCCTTCCTTCCTTTTCCCTCCTTTCTTCCCTCTCTCTTAGGTTCTATATGCTGTTTTCACATGTATTTTGCAGTGTATTACAAAAGTATTCACCCTCTTTCCCTTCCCTACTCCATTTTTTTATGTATTCAACACCTAATTTGCATGAAACTTGGTCGTTTTCTGCTGATTTGCAGATCCCTTTTGTCTTGCCAGTGGCCCAGTGCTTTCTTAATTGATTGAGTCCTGTGGCACAAGTGAATCAGCACAAAAATGATGAAGTCTATTTTCATGCTCACTCTTAAAATTGGTTATACACATAGCACCTCAAAAATCACTGTTTTCCAAAGCCAGTAGAAAAGATCTGTGCTGAGTTCATTTTGGGTGGCAAGATAAGGGACCTCATTTCAAATAAATGCTTCACTTGCAGGTAGCCTGTGTCTTGGAAATCATGCTCCAGGCTCTGTTCTTCATCCCAGTCCATAGTTAGGTACTTCAAGGCACTGGAGTTTTAGGTCACACAAACAATCTGTCAAATCCATTAGCCTGTTGCTCTACACCAAACAGAACCCTAGTGGTAGTGATTTTGAATTCTGTCATTCATCTGGTTTTGTGGGAAGTGATGTAGTACCTAGTACCACAGCTATTTGCACCGGGCAAGAGCAACCTTCTGGGGTATTTCACTGGGCTGCCTCACAATACAGAGACATCTTTGTCTATTCTGTAAAGATGTTGCCTACAAAGAGAAGAAAGCAGATCTCCTCTCCTCTGTCTCTGCATTACAAGGAATGCACTATTCTGAGCATTCCCCTTCTAGTATTCAAGGCTTCAGCCTACCTCTAAAGCCTTCTGAGAACTTAAATTGCTCCAAAGCCTGCTGAGAACTTAAATTGATGCTTAAAGAACATAGGTTGTGTGAGTCACACATTGTATGTCTTTTTTTTTTTTTTTTTTTTTTACAGGTATCAGCCAGAGCAGCCTAATCCAGTATACCAGATGGCCAAAACTACAGATGAACTTGATCAGATAGACCAGAACGAGCTGGTGAGCACCAGTGACTCCCAGACAGGCTTTTTACCAGAAGTGGAAAGGTTTTCTCTGAAAGCTATATTCTTCCCCAAAAACAAGGAGCCTTCCAAATTCTCTGGACTAGTCGTGAACATTTCAGCCAGTCTCATGGGTAAGAGTTTGCCTCTTCCCAGAAAGGGATTGAGGGTCTTGCTTGTTGGTATTGTGTGGCTTTTTGATCAAGGGATGAAGCAGGGGGAAAGTTGCCATAGACAAATATGGCTGGCTCTCTCTCTCTCTCTCTCTCTTTCTTTTATTTTCTTTTCTTTCTTCCTCTCTCTCTTCTTGTTCTCTTTCTTCCTTTCTTTGTGTGCTGGTACTAGGGCTTGAACTCAGGGCGTGGTGCTGTCCTTTAGCTTTTTTCACTTACGGCTGGCGCTCTATCATGTGAACCATAGCTCCACTTCTGGCTTTGTGGTGATTAATTGAAGAGAAAAGTCTCACAGACTGTAGTGCTTGGGCTAGCTTTGGACTGTGATCTTCAGAGCTTAATCTCCAGTAGTTAGAATGACAGGCATGAGCTACCATTACCCAGGTGTCTATCCTAAAATATATGATGCAGAGTATAGCCTCCCTCCGGACAGGATTTGGTGAGAACTTGAGAAGTGGTTGTGTTTACATTCCGCTCTCTCTCTGTCCCCGTCAGCCATTCTTATTGTCATCTTATGCATTGTGACTGTACTTGGGAGAGAGGCACTGGCCAGTGGCAAACTGTGGGCCATCTTAGTGGTCACAGGATTCATCCTCCTCTGCATCATAGTCACCGGTGTCATCTGGAGGCAGCCTGAAAGCAAGACCAAGCTCTCATTTAAGGTGAGCCGTTCTGCCCAACAGCTCCTGGTGGACCCTTCTAGAGGGTCCTCAACATGCTCTTCCTCCTGCCCTCTGTGGACTCAGCCAGAATCAGGTGCTGGCATGGAGGGTGAGTGAGGGGGAAACGGAGCGGGTCCTAGAAGAGGGCCCTGCCAAGTGAGAGCCCTTCCCCCTGGCTCTGAGGTGGTGGGATACACCTCATTTAGTGGGCAGTATCCGTCTAGATACCTCTCGTGTCATATCTAAGCTTGGAAACGAGGGAAGACACGTGGTTAGGTTATACCCATTAATGCAATGGTCCATTCTTAAATATAAAGTAGTAATAAATGCCTCTTCCTAGCCCTTTTCTTTGGCATGAGAAGATAAAAGAGGAAAATTCAAACGAATATTAGTGGCTTGAAATAAGCCACTGTTAGGATTGACCCTAGAGCTTGAGTGAGGGTGAGGATGGGGATGTGTGTTGACTTTGTCACTTCTTGTCAGACCTGATACCACCTATGTCTCTGCAGGTGCCCTTCCTGCCTGTGCTCCCCATTCTCAGCATCTTCATAAATGTCTATCTCATGATGCAGCTGGACCAACGCACATGGATCCAATTTGCAGTGTGGATGCTCATAGGTATGTTGGGGTGTGTGTGTGGGGGGCAATAGGGCTTGAACTCAAAGTCTAGGCCACTGTCTGTTAGCTTTTTCACTCAAGGCTGGTTCTCTGCCAGATGAGTCTCATCTCTACTTCTGACACTGGCACCTGGCAGGGGTTTTACCACCACAATTAGCTTCTTGCTCTCTAAACCTATGAAGGCTACTTACTTATTGTTTAAAGTCTTAGCGCCTTCTTCACAACAGATTGTATTACACAAAGAAGAAACACACGTTATGGTGGTTGCAGTGGTATAGATTCCCTGATAGGCTGTGAGTCTGTCCCCCAACTTTTCACTGAATAGGTCATTGCTCACATTAGTCATCTCCCCAGATAGGAGCTTGAGTCCAGCTACAAAGGTCCCCGTTACTCCCGATGGGAACGTCTAGCAGTGCCTGCCATTGAGCCCCACACCGGTTTCCTCTGCTGACTGACTACTGTGTCTTCTCCTTAGAACACTGGCAGCTCTCCTGTTATGGGTCCTCCCATCAGCCTGCGCAGGACAGCCATACCTGCTGTTCATACCTCTGCTCTGCTTTTGATTACAGGCTTCACTATCTACTTTGGCTATGGGTTTTGGCACAGCGAGGAAGCAACCCTGGCTGCTGATCAAGCAAAGACTCCTGACAACAACTTGAACGAGTGCAAGTGATGTATAGCCCTGCCTGCCCACGAGAGGTCACAGCAGCTGCAGGATTGGCTGCCGAGGACTAGGAAGCATCTCACACTCTACTTAAGTGGCAGGAACTACTCGTATCCCCAAATGTTGCCAAAGGTGCAATTAATTGAACTGCAGCCTCCACCATAGCTTACGTGGCCTGGCCAGACTTGGCCCCGCAGCCAGCTCATGAGGCTCAGGTCACCTCTGGACAGCTTCCTGGCCAACTTGGCTATGTGTGGCCTGTGTCTCCTCATTCCCTCTGAACACAATGCAGCCCACCTTGGCCAGCTGGGTGCCTTGTTGCTGCAGCCCCAGGCAGATGGAGACCATTCCTTTCTCCCTGAGAAACAAGACTCCCTCCTTGCTGCCTTCCTGTTGCAAATCTGCACACTCCAGACCCTCACACAGCTCCTCCCCCAGTGGTGACAGTCCACAGATTCAAGATGAATACCAACAAGGAGCATATCCTAGCCTGGTCCACCCCAGAGCCATGGCACCACAGTTCACCTGAAGAAGAGGGACAGGCCATTTTGCCGCTCTTGCTCTCTGAGCTGCTTTCTAATGGGATTATCAGGACTAAGCCTCTCTCCCACACCCCCTCTGAGTGTGACTTTGCTCTCACATGGCTTGAAATGGGCACTGGCCCGTGCAAAGCAGGATCAAGGGCCAGTGTTTCATCCCAGGCCCCTCGTGGGAGTACAGCATGAAGTTGGGGCAGGGCTGGCTCTGCTGGCATTTGTGTGCACATAAACCAAGGGACAGTTTCCAGGCCTCAATCCGTTCCTGCTGCTTCTGCCCTGTGTCCCTTTGGGCTCTGTGTGTCCTGAGTAACTGGAACATGAGACTTATTTGTGTTAGACAACCTCACGCTGGCAGAGTTCAGAACTCTGTTTCTGTGAGCCTTTACCATTCACTGTCTTACCCCTGATTCTCGTGCGTCAGTCTCTTGGGTCTTAAAAGGTTCCCAAGACAGGTGCAAGCACAGTCTGGGGCTACGATGATGCTAAGTGGACAGTGTCTCCCTTGAAATGAAATTGAACCCTCCTGTTAGCTGCTATGAATCACTCCACCAGATTAACTTTGGGACTTATTATCAGCTTGGAAAATGGCCAAATAATTTCTGACCTCATACCACGAGCTTGTGATTCAGGGTGTGTGGTCTGCACAAGAGTGTCCTGTAGTCCTCTTACTGTCCCTTAGTCTTAAATCAGCCAAGGCAAGATGCTGACCATGGCCTAGGCCTCATTCCTCCATTAGTCCTAGAGCCCAGGGTGTCCCTCTAGGACTTCCTGTGTCCTACACTCTCCCTGGACCACCTGGTGGTCCAGGGAGAGTGTAGGACTGCATTTTGGGGATGGGCCTATGGCCAGCACCAAGACAGGACAAGAGTGCCGATGGACCTCACTAACATTTAAAATGTCAGTTTGGCCAGCAGGTTCCAAGATGAGTGTGTAGGCAGTTGTTTAGACAGCTCTAGTACGCAAATGATGCTTTTGAAACCTACTCCCCCATTTCTTCCCCAACTAGATCAAAGCCTGATAAACTGATGACAATTTGTCTGCTCTCCCCCCAGTTCCCCCAAGCTCCAGAGGAGCACCTTGAACAGCAATGTAAGAATTAGTGAACTTGGGAGCTAGAGTGTGACTCAGTTGTAGAGCATTTGCCTAGCATGGGTTTCAAACCCAGCACCACCAAAAAAGAAAAAAAGTGAACCATATGAAAGGCTGGTTTAGGTTAGCCAGTGGCCAAGGACAGGGCAGTCATGCCAGACCCTAAGCACCTCTGAGTGCTCTTTATTCTAAAGATCCCAGAGGATATTCCAGAGGGAGTAGCATCTGATTCCCCCCCCCCCCAAAAAAAAAACAAACAAAAAACATGGGTTTCCAAAGAAAGGTATTTAAATGTATGTAGATTGGTGCTGTAAACTATTTTGATGAATACTAACTTATTTTGTTTGGGGTTTTGGTTGTCTGTTGTCTTCTTGGAACCTATTCTCCATTTGCTAGATTTCTTTTCACTATTTTTAACTTAGGAGAAGAGAACTTCAGGGAATGAGGTGGGGGATTTTTTTTAACTTTCTCCCCCTTTTTTTTTTCTGGCTGAAATTATCTATTCAAGATGACACGGAACCATCTGTTTACAGTTGATATTTCAGCTCACAGTCTGCATCAGTCTGCAAGAGGACAGGTGGGTTGGAACTCAACCCTGCACATCAAGGATCGTTGGCAACTGAAATCAGGCCTAGGCAGCCTGCTTGCAAGGGGGGGGGGGGGGGGGGGACGGGGGGTAAAGGAGGAGGATGTGCACCTTGGATGAATTTCCTAATCAGGAAAGGATACCCAAGGGTCACTTGTGTGGCCAGTTTCATTGGGTTTTGTGCTTTTATTAAGAGCGGACTATGGAGATTTTCTTCTGTGTAAAGGAGCAGTGATGTAGGTCATTACCTGTTTGGAGTAATGACTGCCTTTTCTCATCACATGACTGCTCCTGACATAAAAACATATAGGCAAAAAAAAAAAAAAAAATCAAATGATCAATAGTTCCACATATCTGAGCCCTTTTCATTTCATGGCTGGGCTAGTGTTTTTCCTACATCGTGAGAACTTGAACATACATCTTGTAAGAATACCATGTCCATCCTTTGTACCTTATGTCAGCCCCAAATAAGTCACATCAGACAGGCCATTTCTAGTGATCCTTCACTCCTGCCAAAATCCATGAAGAATGCAATGCCATGAAGTGTCTCCAGGGCTGGGGGGGAAGCTACTGGAAGGATGTGGGGGTCTTTGTGCAGCCCATACCAGTGGACCCTTTGGGAAACAATTATTTCAAGAGAGAAGGCAGACTCCTGAAGTTTCAAAGATTGCCGGGCTCATAACAGGTCGGATTGCTCTCTTCTCTGCATACTTTGGGATTGGCTTTGGAACAGCAGATGCCATTAAGTCTCATCTCTAGCAGTCCCAGGGCCATCTGATCCTGTGTACTTAGGTGATTTGGATACCACATGCCACCCAACTGCCTGTGGTGTAGTGACCACAGGGCCGTGGGCATGCCTGCTCCCTCTAGTGGCTGAGGTTCTTCACTGCTAACCTCCAGCACCTTGGATGTGACCTCCATTCTCCACCACTTCCACTCCACCCAGTAGCATTCTGGATCTGCGGGTGTTGGCCATCTGGCCTAGCGTTGGCTTCCCTACTGAGTGAAAAGCTGAAGGCAGCTATGTGGAAGGCCGTATTCTCATGCCCCCAGAGGCCACCCTCAGACTTGCAGGCAAGTCTGAGCACTCCCTCCAAAGGCCTCTGCTTAGAGACATTCCACTTGTTCGGCCTGTCTGGTTGGAGTATTTTATGTCCCCAGAGACACACTCCTCTCTCTAATTAAAGAGCCCACAGTTCTTTGGGCACCTGTGTCCATGCCACAAAGACAGGGAAGGAGGGACCTAAGTGCTCCGGTGCCCACTGAGGGGTGAGGGAAACTGAATGAGTGGAAAAATGGGTCCAAGCCTTTACACTAGTGGGCTTCTGGCAAGTGTGGAACTGTTACAGAGATCAAGTTCAGATAGAACTGAATAGGTGTTATTTTATTGTTTTGTATAATAAGAGTATTCTATGTAAGGCTCCCAAGGGAGTGAGATACTTTTGGGGGGCAAGGGGGACGAGGGGTGTCAAGAGACGCTTTACCCATTTGGCCCCAAATGCTGTTTTACCCTGTATGTCATGTCTTTGATACCCAATGGGTGGTTGTTTTGTTTAAGGCAAAAAATGTCAACCGGCTTTTTATTTTCACTGTAAACCAGAGCTATATTGTGCCCACTGCTTCACTGAGCCACGAAGCTCTCTTCCCAGAGGGACTTGATGTGGCCACAGGTCTAGGCATGGGGACCAACATGCCCTCTTAGATTGGCCGACTCATTGTCTAAAAAGCCCACGTGAGACCAAGAACCTGGTCCACGCAGAGGTTCTCAGGGGTATTTGTGTGTCCAGCAGGGTCAAGAAGCGGGGCTGAGGAGAAGCATTCTGATTTTGTTCATTCATGTATTAATAAGCAAGATAGATGATTTCATGTTCCTTGATGACGAACTTCTTTAAGTTTGGGACTTCTTTTCCCCTGTGAGAAGTTACACTTATATATTTAAAACAAGTTTCCTGCTTCTTTTGTGCCTTTCAGTTTCAATGGGCTTAAGGGTCATAAACGGTTATGATACTAATGAGGGTTGGTTTATTATCAAACCCAAATAGCTGGGTGTTTCCAGTCAATTGTTTTCTTCTACTGAACACAGAGCCATTATTAAAAAAAGAGTTGTTCTTATTATGTAAATTGGTATTTTTTTCTGCTTGCTTGATGTTCTATTTTTCTAATCGTTTTTCTTATAATGGTTTCTTACAATGGCGATAATAGTTTTAGACTCTAATGCTAAGTGCAAATCAGGTTGGTCCTTGCTGGAATCCTCCTGGTGTTTTTTTTTTTTTAATTGTATTTTATTTTTTATTATTTTAAGGGCAAGTGTAGGTGTTGTCTATCACTTTAAAAAATGTGAAACTGCTGTTTCCCCTTTGTGCTGACCACGCCATGTACATCGACAACTTCCCGCCAGACTTTGTATTGTAAAATCAAACTATTTTGTGGTACCTTCTGCTTCTGCAAATTCTAATAAATTCTATCTGTGGATTCCATGTGCACTGTGCCATTTCTAGAATTCCTTTAGCTCTTGTTGGTTTTCTGTTTTCCTTTTCTTTTGCCAAGCATAGGGCTCAAACTCTAGGCCCGGGTGCTGTCCCTGAGCACCTCTTTGCTCAAGGTGAGTGGTCTACCACTTTGAACTACAGTGCCACTTCTGGCTTGTTCTGTGATTAATCAGAGATAAGAGTCTCATAGTCTTTTCTGCCCAGGCTGGCTTTGAGCCATGATTCTCAGATCTCAGCCTCCTGAGTAGCTAGAAGTACCAGCATGAGCTACTGGTTCCCAACTTAGTGGTTTTCATCCTCTGAATTGGAGGAAAAGCCTGGACTTGGAGCCCTAGTCCTCAGGTAATCACCACGTATTTGGGACTCAGCAAAAAACAACGAAAGAAACACCTTTCACTCTCTTAACACCTTAGGTTTGTGTTGGTTGCCACACACATTTGGGGGGGGGGGCTAAGAGCTAGGGTGCACGTGGGACAGGGGCAGGGGGCATGCCTGTAATTATCCTAAGTGCTGAGATCTCACTAGCTTCCTGGAGAAAGAAAGCTACTATTTTGGCACAGGAGGCAAATACAGCCTTAGTGGGACTTAATTCCTAGACTCATAGGTCAGATAAAAGTTTAACCAAGGCTCAGCTGATGGTGGGTTTTGGAAGCAGACGCCCAAGCGTTTAGACAGATGGACAAAAGAAGAGAACTGTGCCCCGCAGGTTGACAAAAATGCAAGGAGGCACACTTCATGCATTCACTGTGTGCTGGTGGGGCTTCTTTTCCTACCTTACAAGGAAATGACAGCCCAGCCTCTCCCTGGCCTCATAAAGCAGTCAAGAGCCAGGTACTGGTGTCTTATAATCTTAGCTACTCAGGAAGCTGAGATCTGAGGATCGTGGTTCAAAGCTAGCCCTGGCAGGAAAGACTGTGAGACTCATAACTTTCCAATTAACCACCAGAAAACTGAAAGTGAAGCTGTGGCTCAAAAGTGGTAGAGCACTAGCCTTGAGCAAAGGAAGAGCTCAGGGACAGTGTTCAAGCCCCATGACCAAAAGAACAAAACAGCAAAACGACAAAAACCTAAGAGAAGGTGACCTCTGGTGTCCCCACAAGCAAGTTGGACCTCTTCCACAGCGCCACACTGCCATCTAGTGGTTATCCAGGGGTGCTGCAAAGCAGCCTGAAAAGGCACAGCCAAAATTTTCAGCAATTTTTTAGAATCCTCAGGGGCCAGGGGAAAAGAGGTGGAGACAAGGTAGACTTCTCAAGTGTGTCCACACACACACCGCCCCTCCCTTCATGTAGGGATTCTAGTCTATAAGCTTGAAGGGTTGTCACCTAGAGCAAATGTTCCATTGGTTTTTGTTATGAATGAAAAGCCACCCCTGAATGGCTCAGCATCTGAGGTTCCCAAGAGTCCTATAGAACTACAGCCCAGGGAGCTGCCCTGGCCTTTCAAACCCATCAGCCACAACATAGAACCAAGCAGAGTTCAAAGCTACAGTGGCAAGGATTCTGATGAACGAGGTAAGTCTATGTTCCTGTTCATCACTCTATAAATGCAGCTCTAAGAAGATACAATGTGAGAACAAGCCTTTTGGAGTCCCTTTGCCAATGAAAGCAATAGTTCTTATAAACTTGGCAGCCCAGCCGGGTGCCAGTGACTCCTGCCTGTAATCCTACACAGGAGGCTGAGATCTGAAGATTTCCATTCAAATCCAGCAAGGGGTGGGGGGAGGGGAATCTGTGAGACTCTTATTGAGACTCTCTAACCAGGAAAGACCAGAAGTGGAGCTCACCTTGAGTGAAAAAGCTATAGGATAGCACCTAGGCTCCGAGTTCAAGTCCTGGTAATGGCAAAAGAAAAAAGAAAAAAAAAAAGGCAATCCAGTGAGGTTAGACATCTATCCCATTGGAATGAAGACTGAGAGGGGACTCAGGCAGGAGCTGTGCTTGGGGTCGGGGTGGAGTGTGACCTTGCCAACAATGCTCTTGGGGGGTTAGGGGGGAACTTGCATCTGCCTCATTAATTTAGGATTTGTTTTGTTTTGTTTTGTCAGTTATAAGGCTTGAACTCAGGGCCTGGGTGCTGTCCCTAAACTCTTTTGCTCAAGGTCAGCACTCTACCACTTTGAATCACAGCTAACTTCCATGTTTTTGAATGGTTAATTGGAGATAGTCTCATGGACACTTTCCTGTCTGTGCTGGCTTCAAACGTTGATCCTCAGGTCTCAGCCCCCTGAGTAGGTAGGATTACAGGCATTGGCTACGTATGGGTGCCTGGCTTCAATTTGGGTTCTATGAATTGAAAAGCCATTAGGTAGCCAGCAGCTGTGTGGCAGTGTTGCTCAGGCATCTATGGTATGGGGGCTCAGGAGGAGAGGAGGCAGGGGTTCCCAGAGGGTTGACCAGGAGGTGTTCAGAGATGCTTTGAGTTCCAGCCTTGCTGGCAGAAGCACTACCAGAGAGGTGAGCAAAACCAAAGGGAAGAATCATGCTGATGGGAATGGATAGAGTTAGAAACCCCAAGTGTGCTATTCATTTGTGTGTGTGTGTGTGTGTGTGTGTGTGTGTGTGTGTGTGTGTGTGTGTGGTTTTCTGATCATGGGACTTGAATTCTTCAGAGCCTGGGCACTGCCCTTCAGATTTTTCACCCAAGGCTAACATTCTGCTGTTTAAGTCACATCTTTTTGGTAGCTGACTGGAGATGAGTGTCAGGGCCTTTCAAGCCCAGGCTGGCTTAGAACTATGATTCTCAGATCTCTGCCTGCTGAGTAGTTGGGATCACAGGCATAAGCCATACTGATGTGGATCATGTTTTAGAGAGATAGCATCTTGAGTGAAAAAAACTAAGGAATGGCACCCAGGATCTGAGTTCAAGCCCCAGCATTGGCACACCAAAAAATGTGGAGGCCACTCAAGATGCCCCAGAAGAAGTTAGTAAATTGGGATAAAAAGAAATACCTAGGAAGTATAAATGGTGCAGAGGGAACGTAGGGCTTACTGTTGAGGTCAGAAAGTGGCTTGAAGCTGGTCCTGAACTCAAGGGTTGTTCACCCATTGTTCCTGGGGGAAAATTGGCTCTGGTTTGTCCAGAGAGCCCATGAGAGGGAAAACAAATCCACATGGACAGAATGTAGGCCAGATCGAGCTCTATGGGGTTGAGATACACTTATCCAAGTCTGAGTGGGAAATAGTGAAGGAATATTCTGTTTCTTGTATCTACTTTCCAACCTGCACCAGCCTAGCTGGGAAGATCAGACACATGGAGTTCTTCCAGTTCAGGGATGTTGACAGCCTGGCAGGATGGTTGCAGGGACCTTAGACTTCAGAGTCTGGGGACAGGAGTTTCAAACTTCTCTGAGTAACAAATAAGCTCATCCTGACAGAGATGGGGGAGGGAGAGACCCAACTTGCAAAATACCTCCTTGCCTGGTACTCTCAACTTGGAAGTTGTCCCTTTTTGATATAGCAAAAAATAGATACCACAGAACGTCCTTCAAGTACACTTTAATAGGCTTTAGAGTTAAATACAAATATGCAACACAGAAAGTGGAGAAACAGGAAAAGGAACATCGTGACCCCCTTTAATCCCAGAGAATGCCAGCCCTGCATCAGCCCAACATCCAGCCAGCGCCTCCTCCCAGCGTGTGTCAGGCAGGAGTGGGGACAGGCCACCGCAGGCCTTCCAATGCCATGTAGACCCCAGCACTGCTCAGAGGCAAGCAGAGGTAGAGCTCCACATGGGGAGGTCCAGACTCTGCTGGTGTAGGGTACCAGAGCCATGGACACCTAGCTTGCAGGTGCAGTGACAACTCAAATGAGGACCACACGAGGTGGCTCCCTGCGACAGAAAAATAAAGCAAGGGTCATGGGGGAAATGAACTCAAGTGCCCAAGGGTAGGGCTGGTGGGGGCAAAGCTCTAGTCCACCTAGTGAAGGTTACTTAGTTCTAACATTGCTACGACTTTGGCCACAACAGCCTAACACTGTACCACATTCTAACAGCACACCAAAGTCTGTATTGCTGTGAACCTGTATTTGGCAGGTTCAGTTATGCAAGGGCAGGGAGGGGGAGTCCTAAGTTTGAGAGCTAAGCTGCCACTGAACTCATGTTTGCAGGCCATGCCTGCTAAAAGAATAAATAACTGTGTGTTTAATCAACATGGCACCATCTACCTTAATGAAATGCCCAACTCAATATCAGAGTATCATTCAGAGCCACAGAAGGTAAAAGACCTTCATCATCAATGTCATAGCTACTGTGTATGCCCTCAGAATGGGCATGACCCTTGGGAGTTTGCCAAAAATGAGATGGATCCAAGGGGGATATGGACCTGAGGGGTCATAGACACCCCTCCCCCCATATCTGCCTCCAGAATTGGCCACATCCATGACACTGGGCAAGCCAACTCCTTCCATGGGGCCATCTTGGCCTTCATGGATCTTCCTGCTCTGTCATGGCCTGTGCTCAGAACTCTGCGGAGCCTCAGGGAGAAGAGTACAAGGTCTTCATCACGTACAGAATAAAGGCATTGTTATCACTGCCGTTATCGACTGTTTACTACTTTCCATTGTGGATCATGCTCCTATTCTTCCACAGCACTGTATGAATACCTTTCACGGTCTAATTCTACCATTTCAGAGACAAATGCCAGTCCAGGAGCTGGTGGCTGCCTGGCTGTTTCATTAGGTTCCTCCTTTGGGGAGAAACTTCTGGGCTTACGATAGGGGAAGCCCAGTCTGGGTTTTGGGGAGGGTATGCAGTGATTTAGCACCTCTAGAACTGGTCCTCTAGGACAGACAGGTTGGTTTTCTGGAAGCCGCTGCTAGGACCCCTGAGCCATCTCAATGTGTAGGGAGACGGTGGGATTACAGTGGTTCCTATGAAATGCACCTGAACTCAACTCGGGCCTGAAAGTCATGTCACATCCAAACCAATCAAATGGGATGATGGAGGACATTCTTATTCTGAATCTGGCCAAACATAGACCCTCTCTTGGTGGTTTTCCTTCCAGAGGTTAAGCCTCAAATGATCTTGGTCATCTCCAAGGTCATCCTTCTGCTCAGCTAAAACATGATTTTCCCTGCACCCCTGTTTGCCTGTTGATACAGCTTAATGACCCATTCCAAGGTGCCATTTAGGTAAAAAAGCAAAACGTGTGTGTACAAGATGAGTCGTTCTGGTAACACTGGCAAAACAGCAAACCCCTTAAGGGTTCCGCCTGCAATCCAGGAGAGCCGACCATGAAAACCTGTGAACGGAGCACAGGATCTCACGCCACGCGGTCTAAGAAGCTGACTTCGGAAGGCAGTTAGTTACCATTCACAAGTCGCTGGTGTTGGTAGGAAGCAGAGGTACCACTTGGTGGTAAGATCCGAAGGCGCTTCTTCTCTGGATCTTTTTTTTTTTTCTTTTTCTATTTTTTGGGTAGAAATCTTCTTGGGAAGCTGGATAGAAATGCATTTTTCATGTCCCAATAATGCTTAGGCACAAGTTAGAAAACCGCTGACCGTCCGTAAAATATGTCAGCACATCACGTTATAAAAAAAAAATGCCATTCGGAATCGCGGCGTGTGTGTGATCGGCGAGGACACGCGGGCATCGGCGCGGGGCGCAGCCATTCCTCCAGGTCTATGCAAAACCCTGACGTTCTGCCCTGTAAATGCACCATCGCTCGGGAACAGCGGGGACTCGTCGTTTACTGGCTCTCACTAGGGTCCAACGCGTTTATACACCACACGCTACCTTTACACCTGGCTAAGCGCCAATCCCCGACAGTCTTACACGGAGTGGGGGTGTGGTGGGGGCGGGGAGAGGTGGGGGCAGAGGAGCCTGCTGCCTAGGATGCATGGATGCAGCTGCTGAGCATGCGCGCGCGCGCCAGGCGGCCGCCCCGCCCTCCGGCCAGCCACCGGGCCAGCACTCCTTCGGCTGGACAGAAGCCGCAGCTCCCTCCCGCAGGGGCGTGCTGACGTCATCTGGGCGTGGTGCTGACTCTGGCGGGAGAGGAGGGTCCGGATGCGCAGCCGCGGTACCCCGGGGACGTCGGGGAGAGCTTAATGGGACTGGTTGGGTCCCCAGTTTGGAGTTTCCAGAGCAGCTCTTCGTTGGTGCGGCTCAGTCTCTTCTTCTCCTGGGTTTCTTTCTCCACGTACTCCTGGAGATTGGCGTTTTCCTCCGACAGTTGTCTGTGTGGGGGACAGTGACAGTCAGGCAGCAAGCCAGGGCATGGCGCTGATGGGTCAGGGGAAGGGGAGGCCGCCATGGCCAGCATGGAGAACGCGGAGGAGGCCGGTTCAGGGACTAAGTTAGTCGGCACATACTGTCTCTGTCTGTCTGTCTGTCTGCCTGCCTGCCTGCCTGTCTTCCTGCCTGCCTGTCTGTCTGTCTGTGTGTGTGTGTCTGTTCCTCTCCTGTATCTATTGCCAGATTCTCTCTGTCAGCCCAAGGAACTTGAAAATCCTCTGCTGGATCAGGAGAGGCACCCGGCGTCCTGATCACAGAGCAAAGGCCAGAGGGTGAACAGAGGACGAGGAACACAGGGTGTGTGTGTGGGCATCTGAGAGGTGGGAATCGGCCCTGGCTGTGGTATAGGGTGGTGGCAGCTGTCAGGCAATTGGGGACGCCTTCTCTGGTGTCCGGCCTATGATCCTGGGCACATGCCTTCAAGACAGCAGCTGTCTACCCTGTTACAGACGTTGGCCTGTGACCGCTCTTCTTGCTGGATCATGAGTCTAGAGGACACGGCCAAGACTCTAGCATTCCAGCCTGGCACCCACCATGTAATACACCCTTGGTTGATGTTTACAGACAAAGGATGCTGAATGCAAATCAAACAGTGCTTTCTTCCTTCTGTCATGAAGCTTGAGTTGCTAATAGAGCCTTTGAGGAACTGAAAAATACTCTCATCCATACCACTGGACAGTCTGGTGTCCCCCAAAGTCACCCACCCCTCTGGGACAAAGCTTGCTCTCTTAGGAGTGTATGTTGCATAGTCCTGGGGCTTGTGCCTCTCATGTGAGAGTTCATGGAGGCTGGAAACAGCCTAGAGTAAGGATGAAGAGACCTGCCATCCCCAGCACAATCTTTTCATTTGCCTCTGGGGAGGGAACAAGATGCTGGCACTAGAAGCTCAGTGAGTGTGGCAGTGACTCCATGTGCATATAGTGGGTGTAGGAGCATGTGTGACTGTAAATAGGAGTATAGTCTAAGAAAGTGTGTTAGCATGCAAGCACAAGGATATGTGTGTGTGTGTGTGTGTGTGTTGTGTGTGTGTGTGTTTGCTGGTACTGTAGCTTGAATTCAGGGCCTGGGAACTATCCCTTAGGTTTTTTGCTTAAGGCTAGTGCTCTACTTCTGAGCCTCAGCTTTCTTCCAGCTTTTTTTGGTGGTTAATTGGAGATAAGAGTCTTCATGACTCTCCTGCCCAGCCTGGCTTTGAGTCACAATTCTCAAAACTCAGGCATGGGCTACCATAGCCTGGCACAGGAGGGCATCTGAGAATGATTGTGTGTGCGTGCACGGATGTATGCATATATGCCTGCATGCTCAAGTGTGCCTGAAGAGGATACTATGCCATGGATGCATGGAGAAGCCCAGGCCAGGGTTCAAGCCTGGCTCAGCCCTGGAGCTGGGTGAGGAACACTACTGCTGCTTTCACTGGACTTGCAGTTCTAGAAGTCAGGGCTGAAGGGACAGGTTGGGGAAATGGTGGGTTTCTGCAAGCTGAAGGGGAGGTGGTGCCATTTGGCTGTGTTTCTCCTTTGCCTGGAACTGCTTCTCTTCTCATCTTTCTGGAAAGAAATCTCAGCCCCTTCCAGTGCTGTGGGAGGCCCCTGCTGCCTGCCATTGCTCACTGCCTGCATTTCCCTGGGAGTGGGGGACCCGCATGGTCCACAATCAAGACACAGGCTAAGTAGCACAGGGCTGTGCTTTCCTTTTGGTCCTGTGGGAGATGTCAAGAAAGGGATACAGGAACACCTCACAGCTCAGTGTGAGGCAGATGGGATATAAGAGGTTCAAGGGCAAAGTTACTTGAAGGGCAACATGTGATCTATAAACACAGATGCCAGGCTCACCTACCTGGTGACCACCGTGTTCTGGTCAATCCTGGCTTTGAGGTCTTCATTCTGCTGCTGGAGAACTTGGATCTTTTCTTCCAGGATAATGTTCTTTTCCGCCTAGGAAGAAGACAGCAGGTTAAGAAATTCTCAGCAAGGCCATAGGGTCTGTGGAGACCAATGTCCTTGGCTTCTTTATTTGGGGGGAATCATCAAGAATAGCATTTTACAAAGAGTAGTTTGCGATGAATAGCTCCACTTCTGGCTTTTTGGTGGTTAATTGATAAAAAATAAGAGTCTCATAAGCTTTCCTGCCCTTTGGACTGCAATCCTCAGATCTCAGCCTCCTGAGCAGCTAAGATGTCAGGAGTGAACCATTGGCACCCGACATTCTTTTTACAGTGAGTATACCAGGTCACTGCCATTGTTAGGGACAAGCTATAAACACTTTTGGTCCTCAGCCCTTTGGTTCTTCCAAAAGGTCATCTACAAGGTTGAGGGTATGTGTACAAGTTAGGTATATGGAACTAAGTATGTGTACATGTGCAAGCATGAGAGTGGGTATGAGTGATCATGAGGGTGTGGTCAGTGTCCCTGGACAGGCAGGCCTATACCAGCCTATTCAGACTTCTAGATTAATGGAAGGAAGGGAAGGAAAATAATGTGGATACATGTCTTTCTTAGAGGCTCTGGGCAGCCAGGACACAAAGCCAAGAATCTTGGATGTTTGGGAAGCTCTCCTTTGCTTTGCAGAACAAGGAAACAGTTTTTATTATTTTATTATGTTTATTATATTATTATGTTTTATTATTTTATTTTGTGCCAGTACTAGGGTTTGAACTCAGGACCTGGGCATGGTCCCTTAGCTTTTTCACTCAAGGCTAACGTTCAAACACTTAAGCCACAGCCCTACATCTGGCTTTTCGCTGGTTAACTGGAGATAAGGAATCTCTTGGATTTATCTGTTCAGGCTGGTTTTGAACCAGGCACCTGGCTTTATTGTATAGTTTTCCTTAATGCCCACATTTCCCTTTTATAGTACCAAAAGTCCGTTTAAAAAACAATCATCAGGGACAAAGGAAGGCTACGTAGACACTGTGCCCTCCTCCATACGAAAGAGGTCTGTCATGCTCCTCACCTTGGACTCCATCCTGGACTTTGAGCCTCATGTTGGGGGTGAAACCTATAGCTACTTTTTCCTATGGAGCGTGCATCCTTGCCTTGTTGTCAGGTGCTCAGCCAGAAGCTAACAGGAAGGACCAGTGAGAACATGAGGCTTATTGTGAACTGACTGCTGTGTCCCTCCATAACAGAATCTGGAATCTACCCTCCAAGGCGATGGTATAAGGAGATGCGGACTGGAGAGGTGGTTAGGTCATGAGAGTGTAGCACCTACCGCAGAGATTTGTGTACTTATAAAGCAGAAGCCCATGCAGCAGTGGCATCCACTAGACACTCTGTGGAAAATGAACTATACAACTTGTGGGTGGGGATGGGAGGGAAAACTGGGAGAGAATGAGGGATGGAATGACATGGTCCAGAAAGAAATGTACTCATTACCTAACTTATGTAACTCTTACCCCTCTGTATACCTATCACCTTTATAATAACAATAAAAATAAAATAAAAAACCCCAAGAACCCCAGAGTGCTCTCCTGCTCTTTCTTTTTAAAAAAAAATTTAATAAGTTTTTTTTATTGTGAAAATACCATACAGAGGGGTTACAATTACATGAGCAAGGTAATAAGTACATTTCTTATCAATCATTGTTGCCTCCTCCTTTGATTTCCCCCTACCATCCCTGCCCTCCCATCTCCATGACTACCCCCCCCCCAAAGTTGTAAAGTTAGTTTTTCGACATAGCATCTTGTACATCTCATTGTTGCAATGGGTCCGCCTGTATCCCTATTTAAACAATTTGTTTTTTTCCCTTCTGCTCCTCAAATCATAACATCAAATAACAGTGAAAACAGGGGTTATACCGTGGGGGAGGGATATACAAAGAAAAAAATCACCTTATAAATATGTTAGAAACAATAGCAAGGAAGAAAAAAACCACTTGTTTCCTTATCTTGGGGTTCCTTTCACCTAACGTCACCTTATCTGACCTTTTCTGCTTGACTCATACATATACTAGTCATTGCAAATAAGGGAAACCATGGGACCTATGTTTCTTTGGGCCTGGCTTACTTCACTTAATATAATTTTTTCCAAGTCTTTCCATTTCCTAACAAATGAGGCAATGTCATTCTTTCTGATGGAGGCATAGAATTCCATTGTATATATATACCACATTTCCTTGATCCATTCATTTACTGAGGGGCATCTGGGTTGGTTCCATATCTTATCTACAGTAAATAATGCTTCAATAAACATAGTTGTGCTGGTAGCTTTAGTATGGTCTTGTTTGTGATTGGTACTGGCACAAGAAGAGACCTCAGGACCAATGGAATAGAATTGAAAACCCAGAAAGGAACCCACAGACCTAAAGCCATCTAATCTTGGATAAGGGAGCTAAAAAAATAGAATGGAAGAAAGACAGCTTCTTCAGTAAATGGTGTTGGCAAAATTGGTTAATCACTTGTAGAAAACTAAAGCTAGATCCTTATATATCACCCTGCACCAGAATCAACTCCAAAGGGATCAAAGACCTCAAAGTCAAAGCAGACACCCTGAAAACATTACAGGATGGAATATGAGAAACCTTAGGTCTCCTTGGCACAGGCCGAAATTTTCTTAATAGAAATCAAAGAAAGGTTGGACAAATGGGATTGCATGAAGTTGCAGAGCTTCTGCATGGCAAGCAAGATCAATAGAAAGCCCACAGACTGGGAAAAGATCTTCAGTAGCCATACAACGGACAAGGCTCTCATATCTAAAATATACCTGGAACTCAAAAAATTAAATCTTCCAACAACAAATCCTCAAAGAAACAACTGCCCAATAAATAAACCGGCTAAAGACTTACAGAGAAACTTCTCTGAAGAGGAAAGAGGGATAGCCAATAGACACATGAAGAAATGCTCAACCTCTCTAGCCATAAAAGAAATGCAAATCAAAACAACACTGAGAGACCACCTCACCCCAGTTAGAATGGCTATCATCAAGAACTCTAACAACAACAGATGCTGGAGGGGACGTGGCCAAAACAACCTTACTGCATTGTTGGTGGGAGTGTAAACTTGTTCAACCACTTTGGAAAGCAGTATGGAGGTTCCTCAAAAGACTCCACATAGAGCTCCCTTATGACCTAGTAATCCCACTTTTGGGCATTTACTGGAATGATCCTGACCTTTCTACCATGTGAAAATTTGAAGCACAGGGCCAGGGCTCCATTTAGGTTTGGCTACTCATTACCTGTAGCTGAGTCTCTACACCTTCCCTGGGCCTCCACCTTGCCTCCGTAAAATAGTACTAGACCCCAGGTGCACTGTTGTAAAAGATAAATGCCTTGCACAGAGTGGGGCATCTAGTAAGGATGGATGTTTCCTCGTGCCAGCTCTCTACACTTCTTCCAGGGAGAGGGGTGACACAGCACTTCCACAAGAGTACTGGAGCCAAGCAAACATGAGGTCAGCCAGATGGCCAGAAGGTCCCCCGAATTGGACAAAAAGATGCCACCTCTGAGATTCCTTATTAGCACTCCTAGTTTTGTTAGATGGACCTCAAAGCTCAGCTAGGGTCTTTTCATTCTCGTGTGTGTGTGTGTGTGTGTGTGTGTGTGTGTGTGTGTGTGACACACACACACATGTAATAAGGCTTGAACTCAAAGCCCTGGGCACTGTCCCTTAGCTTTTATACTCAAGACTGATGCTCTGCCACTTGAGCCACAGCTCTACTTCTAGTTTTGTGCTGGTTAACAGACTTTTCTGCCTGGGCTGGCTTTGAACTATGATCTTCAGATCTTAGCCTCCTGAGTGGCTAGGATTACCAGCATGAGCCACCAGTGCCCAGCTCAGCTAGGGATTTGCTGCTCATGTGTGAGCCATGGTTGGGAAGAAGGCATTCGTCACTGGACACCGCCATCCATGCCATGCTTGGGGGAAATCTCAGGGTAGTCGCTCTCTCGGGCAAGCTGACCAACTTACCAGCTTTTCCAATTCAACAATCCTCTTTTCCTGCTGGTGTATTTGCTGATTCTTCATCTCTAACACCTGCTTCAGACTCTTCATATCTTCTTCCAAGTGCTGATAAGGGGCCAGCGCAATCTACCAGGGAGAGAGCAGCCACTGTGGGCCAAGTTTCCAGCCAAGCTCAGTGTCACCTGATCTAGCTCAGTGTGGCTCTGAGCAGCTCCCTGGAGAGAGGCTGGGGCAGTACAATAAGGGACCCTAAGTGATCGGGAGGCTCTCTGCATCCTTAAAAGAACCCCCCCCACTACTTTCCCACCCACAGCTCCCTACAAATCCAGCTGGAGGGAGGAGTGAGAAGCGGCCCTCATCCACTGGAAGACCCGGATTCTAGAAATGTCACACTATTTCAGATAAACCACATTAATATATTTAGTGTATTTCAGCAGAAGAAATTCCCCCGTCTATCATTCAGCATTAACTGGGCGTCACATATTTTTAGGCAGAAATAGTACGTTTGATGGAAGGAGATTTTCCAGACTTTCTTTTGGGGGAGGTGTAGGAGGGGGTGGGAATTCTTTTCAACTTTCTAACTCACTCATTGCTTAGACAGTACTGTTCCAGACCAGCCTAACACACTGTTGGGGAATTGGGGGGTGGGGTGGTAGGCTGGCCCAGCCATAGTGAAGTTTTCAGGGGTGCGCCTCCTAGGAGCCCTGGAACTTTGTGTATTGATACACACAGCAAGTCAATGGAAAAAGCCACAGCTGGGTTCTGTCTCAGGACATTATTTAAAGCACCCAACGAGACGACCAGCTGTCACTTCATAGCAGATCAGCATGGAGGCCTCATCCTTGAGGCCTACAGAGGAAGTGAGGCCCTGGCTGTGGTGCTGGGTGGCCTGGACAGCAGTCACTACCTCTAGCTGTTCCTCAGTGTTTTTCCTCAAAGCCTCCTCAAAGCGCTGGGCGCGGTCCCGCAGGCACTGGCTCTGGAAGGTCAGTGTGTCCACCTGGTCCTGTAAGCAATGACAAGAGACAGCGGAGATGGGACCTGGGCAGCTGGGGAGACAGTGCTGTCCATCTTATAGTGGGGTTCTTTCCAAGGTCTTTCCTAGGGCCTGGCTAATAAACAGGGGACATTTTAGCTCCTTGGTTGGCAGTGCCTTCTTTTGCTAGGCCCCTCTTATTTTCAGTTCACTAATGGCCTACTGTTAACCTTTCTGGCCCCAGGGCTAGGTCTCATGGCCTTGATTGGAGCTGCCCTGTGACTTGAACCACCCAGGGTCATCATCTCAGTTTAAAGCTTCTCCCTGTTAGGGTGCTACCCCCTAGCTCCAAGCACACTCCCAACATGCGTGTATGGCGCTGCAGCAGGAATGCCTGCGGGACACAAGCCCTTTCCTCAGTTCCCGGGGCATATGGGACTGCACAGACCCCTTCTTTCACATCCTCAAATCACAGTGCTTGTCATCTTGAATGAGGCGTGGTGGTCCCTTTAAACACTTGATGCCTAAGGAGCATCATTTCTTCACCATGGAGTCCCTCACGCTAAGGATCCCAAACTCCTTCGCCGAAGTATTCTATTTCAGAAATACTAAAATACAGGAAACTAGAGCTTACATTGCCCCCTTCCCCTCCAGGAAATCTTCTGGCAAGAGAAATGGCCTCATTCCAGCAAAACAAATAGTAGAAGCAGGATAATGCAAAGTCTGTAACTCTGTACACGAACACAAGGGATGACTGAGGCGTTGTCTTCATTCATCATGGCTGAGGGCCCACAGCTCACAAATCTCCCCAAGCAGGATCCCTTTGCCTTTGCTTTGCTTCCTTCCAGTTACTCTCTCCTCTCCTCTCTTCTCCCCTCTTCTCTCCTCTTCTCTTCTTCTTCCTTCTCTTCTCTTCCTCTTTCCCTTCCCTCTCCTTCCCTTCTTCCCCTTCCTTTTCCTTCCTTTGTCTCCTTCCCTCCATTCCCGCCCCCCCCCCATCCTCTTCAATTACATTGTGCAAACACACTGGTATGAGGGTTGAACTCAGGGCCTGAGCACCGTGCCTTAACTTTTTTCTGCTCAAAGTGCTCTACCACTTGAGCCACACCTCCTCTTATATAGCTTTTTTCCAGTTAATTGGAGATAAGAATCTCTCCAATTTATCTGCTCAGTCTTCAGATCTCAGTCTCCCAAGTAGCTAGGATTGCAGGCATGAACCCCAGATGATTGGCCACTCCTAAACTTTTGACCTGTGCACTCAGTGGCTGGGATGGTGTTGTCTATACACGCCTGGCTTCTTTCCTAGCAGGGCAGTCTCTCTGTGATGCACAAAGCCAGGAGGACTGAGCCATTCTGGGAGAAGGCTGATTTTCTGTCTATCTATTCCAGCCATGGGAATTATCTTCCACAATTTACAGACACTTTACAGACAACTTACAGATACTTATTGCTTGGGTAATATGTTAGTGAGACCCCCCTCCCATCTCAACACACAAGCTAGATGTGATAGCTAGTATTTGTTGTCTTGACTAGGCAGAGGCCTAAGTAAGAAGAAATTAAAGCTCAAGAACTTAACTGAAAAATAACCTAAAGTGAAAGGGGCCGGAAATGTGGATCAAATGGTAAACCATCTGCCTAGCAAGTATTAGGTTCAAATCTAAATATTAACAAAACAAGCAAGCAAACATGCAAAAACATTCACCACTGCCAACAATCTAAGATCAGAGTTTCTTATGGCAAAAAGCTTTCTATAGGCAGTTCCTCCCTAGACATGGGGTCTGCTACTGATCCACAGAGGCACCTGGCAGAGGGTCTGGAAGGCAGGAGGAAGCTAAGGTGATCTAGGCACCCCTGCATTCTCTTGCTAGAGACCAGCAGGCAGCCAGGCAGCCCCTGGAGCATTTGAGAGCAACTTTTCCTCAGGTGGCAGGTAACTGAAGACCCTTAGACAATTCCCAGAGTATAGGCTGTTAGTTCTGACTTTCACAACTCACCTGCACTATTCCCTGCCTGGAATGTTCTCTCGCCCACCTCCTCCTTTCTTCCAACCCCACTGTTTCTTCTCTGCTGGCTGATCTCAGAAAGGGCTCAGCAATCCTCCACTTCTGGAGCGTTCATTAGTTGTACCATTTACTCTGTACAAGTGTGACTCGCCTCTTTTGTCTTAACTCTGTGCCTTAGCTCTCTGAGGAGACAGCCAGTCCCTAGAGGCCAGAACTACATCCTCTTTACCTCTATATTTCAGAAGAGGTGCAAAATCAATCTTTTCTACTTCTTTCCTTCCTTCCTTCTTCCTTCCTCCCTCCACTTTTCTTTTTCTTTCTTTCCTTCTTTGTTTCTCCTTCCTTCCTTTCTCCACTTTCTTTCTTTCTTTCTTTGTTTCTCCTTCCTTCCTTCCTTCCTTCCTTCTTTCCTCCACTTTTCTTTCTTTCTTTCCTTCTTTGTTTCTCCTTCCTTCCTTCCTTCCTTTCCTTCCTTTCCTTCTTTCTTCCTTCTTTCCTCCACTTTTCTTTCTTTCTTTCCTTCTTTGTTTCTCCTTCCTTCCTTCCTTCCTTCCTTCCTTTCCTTCCTTTCCTTCTTTCTTCCTTTTTCTTTCTCTTGTTTGTTCCTTACTTCCCCCATTCATCCTTCCCTCCCTTCTTCCTTTCTTTCTGCTTAGTACTAGGGCTTGAACTCAGGGCCTGGGTACTGTACCTTCACTTTTTCACAGTGGTAGAGCCCACACCCACTTCCTGCTTTTATCTGGTTAATTGGAGTCTCATCAACTTTCCTGCCCAGGCTGGCTTTGAATCTTAGATCTCAGCCTCCTAATGTAGGTAGGATTCCACCACCACTGGCTGTAAATAAGTGGTTCTGCATGGGCCTAATCATGTTCCTGTTACTGCACATCACTGAAGAAAATACTAACCTGCAATGATAGTCGTAGTTTCTCAAAATTTTCTTCTAATTCCTTCTTTTCAAGTTCATGGGTAGATATCAGTTCTGGAGAGAAGATAGCAAATTGTCGTTAGCATTCTTTAAAGATCTTTGTTAGTATCTATTAGTAACAAAGTATTTGGGGTAGTTTCATTGTGACATTTCTACATATGTATGTGATGTACTTTGATAAACTCAGCCCTCCACTTCTCTTCCTCATCCTCCCTCCCTCCTTCTTAAAAGTTTCAACAGTTTCATTGTTCTGTTCTCATACATGCATAACCTGTTTTACTTTCTTGTGTTTCATTTTTTAATATGCTGGACATCACTTGTAGAAAGAGGTTTCAGTATGTGATTCACACAGCTATATATTATAATTTAGTCAGATTAGCTCCTTTATTGCTTTCTCTTTCCATATCCCTCCAACTCTATTGTTCAATAGCTTTTAGAGTTTCCTCAATGTCTTCATACATAGATACCATGTATCTCTATATTAACCATTCTCCATCATTGAAAATTGGACTTTCTCTTGAAAAGGATAATATGACTCTTTTGGCAGACCAGTAGTGATGGCTTTAGTCAATACATATCTCCTTAATATGATAGATTCAAGGCTAAAGAGTCTCCACCATTAGTTTCAGAAGGAGAAGTAAAGAACAAAGAGGAAGGGAAGCGAAGATCGCGCACATGCATGAATGTGCATATGCATGCACACTTCTGCGTCCTGCTATACCACAGGCACATACACATGCTTTTGCATCCCGCTATATTATGAATACTCACATGTACACTTCTGCATGCGGCTCTACCATGGGCACATGTCTGCATCTTGATCGATCATGGGGAACACACACACACACACACTTGTGTGTCCTGCTGCATGCACTGCTGTATCCTGCTATATGATGGACATGCATACACACTGCTTTGAAGTACTATGCTGCTATGCTGAAAGGCAGATTCTCTCCTCACAGTACCCTCTGATATCCTCACACTGTTCCTAATGGTAACAACTGAGTAATCCACAGCAAATGCCCATTTTCTTCTACCCACAACTTTTCCTTCCCAATGTGAAGTGGCTATCTGGGCCTGAAGAAGATGCTGCCTAAAGATTGTGGGCCTGTAGCCACTGCTATGATTGTCAGGCTGCTGGAGAATGCATGGGGTGGAGGAGCTCAGTGCTGGACTCCTTGGTGCTTTGGTAAGACATTCATGGAAGCAGGGGACAGAGTAAGAGAATTTGGAGGGTGAATAACAAAAAAAAAACTCATTGAGTCTAGGCATAAGGAAAGTCACTGGAAGCTATTAAATAATAGAAACATATGGAGGGTCAAGGAAAGAGCAACAGACGGGGTTAATATTATTAAACTATATATATATATATATATATACATGTAATACTATGGTGAGCCCCCTTTGTACAACTAATACATGCTAATAAAATTCATGACAGGAATTTCCAATTGGTTCTGTTGGGGGTGGGTATCAGTGAGAGGGTTGAGGAATAGAGAAGGTAAAGGAGGGTGCAAGTATTTTGTATATATGTATGAAAGTAGAATAGGGAAACCTGTTGGAATTGTGTTAAGAAAGGGAAAGGAAAAAGACGGATGGAGGGTGTGAGATTGGTCTGGGTACATTATATTCATGTATGGAAACGTCACAATGAAATCCTATGCACACAAATATATGCTAATAGAATATAAAAAGAAGAAAGAGGAGGGAAGGAAGAGGAGAAAGCTGGATGCTAGTGGCTCATGCCTGTAATCCTAGCTTCTCAGGAGGCTGAAATCTGAGAATCAGTTCACTAGGCTGAATTCTCTCTAATTAAGTAGCAAAAAAGCCAGAAGTAGAGCTCAAGTGGTAGAGAGCCAGCTTTGAGTGGACAAAGCTGTCAGAGTACAAGACCCTGAGTTTAAGCCCCAGTTACCTGCACAAAGAAGAAAAATTGGAGGAGGAGGAGGGAGAGAAGGAGGAGAGGAAGAGGAGAGGAAGAGGAAGAGGAAGAGGAGATCCCTAGGATTTCTTAAGCAAAGACCCAGTGTCAAGACTCAGACAGAAGGAAGGGCTAGTTGAAATGGTTCTTCTTAGAGGGTTTGCAGCAATAGCAATAGTTTGCAAGTGAACCAGAGAGTTATTAAACAAATGGGTTCTATCTTCCTCCAGATATAAGGGTTTTGTTATCTGTGTGAAGCTACACAGTCAATGTGTTCTCATGTTCTAACTAGAAGGAGTCTCATTAACTAGTTTGAATCACACACTTGGAGCAGGGGCCTCCCATGGACCAACAACATTTAGGCATGAGTAATACAATTAGGAAAAACTTGGTAGTTCTCATTGACACAAGTCTCTTAACTAATGGTGGTAATGGCTGCTAAAACAATGTTGTGACTGTAGATGAAATTTACATTAGAAAAAAAACCCAAACTTTTTAAACCAACTGGTTTCTGGTCCATCTGCCCCTTCTAAAGAATGAGATTTTAAAACCACTGAACACATTATTCTGATCATAATAATAAGATTTTAAGCTGCTGTTACATACACCCACACGGTCTTTACATGATGCATGACTCAAAGGCCTTGGAAATAATGTATAAGTAAGACTTTATTTTTCAGAACAAAGATCTATAGGTGTAATGAGGAAATAATGGAAAGAAATTGTGGTAACAGGTGTGTCACATCATTTGCATTGTGGTCCCTTTCTAGAGACCACTGCAGAGATGGCATGTCAGCTGTCATTGGTACCCTAGTGGATTGAAACCACTGCTTACTATGCAATAGCTATATACTCATGATATACCTTTTTTGATGCTAGTAATGGGGCTTGAACTCAGGCCTGGGCTCTCTTCTTAGCTTTTTTGTTCAAGCCTAGAACTCTGTCACTTGAGCCACAGCTCCATTTCTGGCTTTTTGGTAGCTGATTGGAGGTAAGAGTTTCACACACTTTCCTGCTGGGTCTATCTTTGAACAGCCTCTTGAATAGGTAGGATTACAGGCCTGAACCACTGGTACCTGGCTGAACTTTTTGTTTTTTAATACTTCCTGGAGCAGAAAATTGGTGCATGAAGGAGCGGATAATATGAGGTGGGTGTCTAAGCAGTGAACTTTGTTGTTTACAAAAGATATTTAAAAATATTTTCTAAAGTTTATGCTCAGATTTTAGTTGTTAAATTGCTCAGATTTCATTGTTGTTTTTTTTTTAACATATATACTTAACATCTGGGAAAGAAAAGGGGAAATTTTAAGAATGATTTGCAAGTATTAATGCAAATGCATGTAAAATTTTAGGAAAATCCCAGTAGGACTTAATAACATGTTCGTTTGTTTTTTCCTAGTCCTGGGGCTTGAACTCTGGGCTTGGGCAATGCCCTTGACCTTTTGTGCTCAAGGCTTATGCTGTATCATTTGAACCATAGATCACTTCCAGGTTTTTGTGGTTAATTGGAGGTAAGAGTCTCATGGACCTTCCTGCCTCAGCGTCTTCTAACAAAGATTCCTCAGAGCTCAGCCTCTTAAGTAGCTAGGATTACAGAAGTCAGCCACTGGCCCCCGGCATCATTATTGTTATAACTTGAATAAAACACATTAGGCCGGTTTCTGTAATTATATTTAAATTCCTGAGGAAGGCTGGCTTTATAAAGAAAAGATATTTGTTTAACTTATAGTACCAGTGCTGGAAAGTGAAAGGTTCCAGGTAGTTTGGAAGTTCTGGAGGTTCAAAGCCCTAGAAAGGCTTATGGTAGGCATATGCTACAATTTGGATCTAGAATGTTCTCCAAAGGCTTGGTCCCAGGGTGGTGCTATTGGGATGTGGTAGAGCCTTTAAGAGGTAGGACCTAATGGGAAGGCCTTAGTTTATTGGTGGCATGTGCTCAAAGGGGACTAGAAGACCTGGCCCTCTCCTTGCTCTATTTTGCTTCCTGGCCACATAGTGAGTGGTTTTGCCCCACCAAGAGGTCCAATCATGATGAGCTCCTTCACCACAGGCCCAAGGCCATGAGGCCAATGGACCATGGATTGGAAACTCCCAAACTGAGTCACAACAACCCTTTTCTCTTTATAAGTTGACTATCTCAGGTAGAGAACCATGCAAAACTAACACAGAATGCATGCAAGAGAGAGATAACAACCCCAAACTTATAGTAATCCAGAGAGACTAGGTTCCCATAGTCCCTTCTAAGGGCATACCCCCAATGACCTAAAGACCTCTCATTAGGCTCCACTTCTTAAAGGTTTCTTCCTGTTTCCTCTTTACCACATTGGGGACCAAATCTCCATGAACTCGAGGAGAACAAATCACATCCAAACCATAGCACAAAGAAAATTCTATTACAAAATGACCTATCCATGGTGAATGTGGATAAGGAATGCAGGCTCTGAGGTGCTCCCCAAGACAAAGCATAAGAAGTCCATGTGAGGTTGAGAAGAGGGATCCTCAAGTTTGCTTCACCTCAGCCCTGTGCACAGAGCTGGGAAAAGGATGTGAAATCCTATCAGAATCCTGGTGAGGACCATGACAGGAAAGATATTTGCCTTTTGTTGTAGCTCCCTAGGTGATCCTCAAATTCAGGCAAAGCTGAGAATAAGTGCTTTGGGAGAGATAAAGAGTTACCTGGTTCTTTTCTTACGTGGTTCCTTGAGCATGTTAGGCAGGTATTATACCACTGAGCACTATCTAGCCCTACCTGGAGCCTTGATTTCTATTGATTCTTCACAGGAACCAAATACAAAGGATGTACCTGGCAGAGGGAAGGAGGCAATGAAGAGAAGAGGAAAGGAGATGAGGAGAGTAAGAGAGGAGGGAAAGGAGGAGAAGAGAGGAGAGGTGGAGAAGAAGAGAGAAAGAGAAGCAGAGAGGAGAAGAGGAAGATGAGAAAAGGAGGAGAAAAGGAGAGAAGAGATGAGAGGCATCGAGGAGAGAAAGGAGAGCAGAGGGCTCTGTGATATGTAGGCAGTTCCTTCATGCACAGCCCAGCCTGCCTCTGCACCTTGGACTTTGTGGTCGTGGTCATCTTGCAGGATGGCTATGGCGACCGTGTGGTTGTTCTCCATCTCCAGGAGAGCAGTCTCATGACTGGTGGTAATGTCCTCCACCTGCAGGAGAGGCAGCATACAGGTTATCTGGAGATCAGGAGCTGTGGTCTGCGACATCCTCACCGCTAGCAAAGCACAGATACACTTCATACCCTGAGGATCAGGACAAAGTCATCGGCAGAGGAACAGCCTGGATTTGCGGCTGTCCCTCAAGTCACTGCCATAATGTAGGGCTTTGCAATTAGATGGTATCACTCTAAAGCCCTGGCCTGGCTTCTGAACTGTTCCCCTCCTTTCCTTTGTGACATGGTTAACAAGATTCTGATGGAGAAGGGAAGAAAAGGTCAGCCAACAAGAAGGACTTGCGGGATGTGGCTCACACCTGTACTCAGCTACAACAGCAGCATTCACCTCACTGCTAGAAAAGCTAGATCTCATTATGAAAATGGATTTGGATAGGCAATGGTTTATTCCTGCTTACTTGATATTCTTTCACTGGATATTCTTTTTGAACTTAGGGACTGAGTGTTGTCCCTGAGCTTTTTTGCTTAAGTCTAGCATTCTACCACTTGAGCCACAGCAGCTCCTCTTCCAGCTTTTTGCTAGTTAATTGGAGCTAAAAGTCTCACAGACTTTCCTGCCTAGGCTGACTTCAAACTTTGATCTTCATATTTTGGCTTCCCTGAATAGCTAGGATTGTAGGTGTGAGCCACAGGTGTCTGGCTGATGTACTTGATTAAATAATATTTTATCTGTGTTTCAATGCTATGAATTCAATCAGCAGCAAGGCTCATCACAACAGTATGAAACTGTCCGGATCCTTTTCTTCTTTTTAATTTTGGTGCCAGAACTGGTGATCAGATAGCCTGGCGCTGCCTCTTAGCCTTTTTGCTGAAGGCTAGTACCCTACCACTTGAGCCACATCTTTACTTCTGGCTTTTTGCTTGTTAATTAGAGATAAGAATCTTATGGACTTCACTACTCTGGCTGGCTCTGAACTGCTATCTTCAGATCTCAGCCCCCTGAGTAGCTAGAATTACCAGGCAGGAGGTACTAGCACCCAGTCCAGATCCTTTTATGTGAAGCTTTAATGGAATGGTTGTATTTTCTTCTTCTTCTTTTTTATTATTGTGAAAATACTGTACAGAGGGGTTACAATTACATGGGCAAGATAATGAGTACATTTCTTATCAAGCATTGTAGCCTCCTCCTTTGTTTCCCCTTCCCAACCCATCCTCTTCCCGCCCCCCCCCCCCCCCACCTAAGTTGCAAAGTTAGTTTTTCGACATACGACTTGTACGCCTCATTGTTGCAATGGGTCCACCTGTATCCCTATTTAAACGATTTGTTTTTTCCCTTCCCCTCCACAAATATAACAACATCAAATACAGTGAAAGCAGGGGTTATACCATGAGGGAGGGACATACAATGCAACAAAGAAATAATCTTACTAGTATTTTTTTTTAAGGAAGAGGAGCTACCTTTCGTTTCTGTTAACTGTGCAGCACACAAGACCCAAACATCTGAAGGCATTTTGTATGGCTTTAGACAACAAGACCCCAGAGAAACATGAGATGATTTTCTGCATTGTAGATCACAAACTCAGAGATAAAAGAGCTCTCAGACTACTGGCAAGGTTGTGCTGGGGAAGCATCTTTCTTGTTCTGTTAGAATCAAGATGCAGGATCGGCCCTCTCCCCAGCTGGCTGGTCCCTCACTAGTACAGGCTGGATGGGGATAGGGGAATACCCAGAGGTCACAGGTGAGGAATTTATTTCTTTTGAAAGCAGTGTCTGACCTTGGGAGACTTAGAGACAAGAGAAAAGCAAGGAGTAGCCGTGGCATACGCAGAATGGTATGCTACCTCCTTCTGCCCATCTCCCTTCAGTGTTGGCTGCTGGCTATGGGAGGGGCATGTTTGCCTCCTACCATTCCAATACTGACAGGCTCCCCAGGAATTGTTCCTTGATATCCCATGGAAGAATTTCACTGTCAATATTTCTGTTCTAAAGTTACATTGTGTCTACTTTGTGTATGCATGTGCATGTGTGTGTGTGTGTGTGTGTGCACACACACGTGAGCACACAAATACATGGAACTAATGAGGCTTGAATGCAGGGCATGGGCACTATCCCCGAACTTTTTTTTATTATTAAGATTGGCACTATATCATTTGAGCCATGCCTTCACTTCTAGCTTTCTGCTAGTCAATTAGAAATAAAACTCTCATGGACTTTCCTGACCAGGTTGGCTTTGAACCGTGATCCTCAGATCTCAGCCTTCAGAGTAGCTAGGATTATAGGTGTGAGCCACTGGCACCCAGTGGAATTGTAATTTTCAATAAGGAAAACCTTTGGTGAGAAAATGAGATTGGAGAAATGCCTGGAAGTAAAAGGGAATGGGAGCTAGGCAAATGTCCAGAAGGAGAACATTCTACCCAGCCAGGAGGAAAGGGCTGAGGAATAGGGAGAGAGGCCAGACAGGAGAGGCTGAGAGTGGGCTGAGTGGACCTTCCTGCTTCCCCCCACGGCACTGCCAGCTGCCTCCAGTGTCACCCGCTCCTGCACACTGACCTGTTCTTCATGCTGACATCGGATTCGTAGCAGCTGGCCCTGGTGCTCCTCCTGCAGGCGTGCTGTCTCTGCCTGGAATTGCAGCTGCAGCCTTTCCTGCAGCTCCTGCAGCTCAGCCTGCTGCTGCCAACCCAGCCTCTGCAGCTCCTCCTCAAAGCGCAGCTCCAGCTCCTCCTTCTCCTTCTGCAGCTTCTCACACTTGGCGGCATTGAAGGCTGCCAGGGAGCATAAGACTTTCTTAGATCTCAGGGCAGGAGGGAAAGGATGTGTGAGCAACCCCAATGAAACCACCAAGGGTTGCGGTCCCATGTACCATGTACTGGCAATGACACTAATGAGTCTGTGTCTAGAATAAATCCAACAGCGAAGTTCACATGGTAGAAACATAAATGGCCATGCAACAGTAGATGGATGGTCCTCACCATTTATGAAAAGTCATGCAAAGTGAAGCAAAATGAAGCTGTCATCCATAAGGCTGATGGCGTGGTCATATGCTGTGCTCTATGGAAAGAAGGTAGAAGTCTGACTTGATGGATGGCTGAGGGGAACAGAAGAGATGGGGATGTAGATAACCTTCACAAGTCAGATGACAGGGACAGGGGTGCTGGGGGTGACTGCTAAGGAATAGGGCTTTTTTTGTGGGGTAAAGTGGATGCTTTAAAATGTACAGCAGTCACATGAGAATTATATATTGTTTGACACCCCCCCCCCAAAAGGGAAAGAAAACAAGAATAAGAACAGATCAAGAGAAGTATCTCAGAAAATTATACCTGCACTTGTTTTATTTTGTGCTGATACTAAGGCTTGAATACTGGGCCATGAATTCTTGCTTAGCCTTTTCACTCATGCTTTACCTCATGAGTCACACCTCCATTACCAGCCTCTTGCTAGCAAAAATTAGAGATAAGGTTCTCTCAGATTTGTCTGCCTGGCTGGCTTTGAACTTCAGTTCTCAGATGTTAGCCTCCCAAGTAGCTAGGAGTAGCCAGGTGAGTCACCAGTACCCAACTTTGGATGGTTTTATAGAAGGGAAATTCATAGTCTTATTTTTTTTTATTTTTTTTCAATTATAAAACATATCATGTATGATTTATTTAAAGTCAAATAACACAATAGGGGGCTGGGAAGGTGGCTCGGTGGTAGAGCTCTTGCCTTGCATGCCTGAGGCCCTGGGTTCAATTCCTCAGCACCACATAAGCAAAAAGAATAAAAGCCGGAAGTGGCACTGTGGCTCAAGTGGTAGAGCGCTAGCCTTGAGCTGAAGAGCTGAGGGACAGCGCCCAGGCCCAGAGTTCAGGCCCCATGACCGGACCCCCCCCAAAAAAATAACACAATAGGGCAAGTGAGTAGCAAGCAAATAAATATTAACTCAGTAGGGGTATAGTAACAGTAGGGGAGACACAAAGCAAGAGTAAGAGTCCAAACTGGCTCTAAAAGGTAAAGATAATATGTGAAGTTTACCTGCTTTCACATAGTCTTATTTTTAAACTCTCTATATTAATGGTGAAGATACATGGTAGCACAATAAAAGTAGAAATCTGACCACTATACTACTGTATGAACACACACACACACACACACACACACGGAACATATGAGTAATTCCTGCTGTCTCTGAATGTAGACATATTGAGAATACGCAACTTGAATGGAAAGAATGAAAAATACTAGTCATTTACTTCATATTTGGAAAGTATTGTTTCACATGATTATGTTAAGCATTTTGAACTTCAGAAAACCAAGGGAATAACTTAATCATAATGGATTATGAACACAGAATAAAACAGATGAAAAGGTAAAGAAATAGATAAAACCAAATGGGTTATACTGGTAACAAAACTTCCAATGATATGCTCCTTTTACCACGACATTTTTATAAAATGGTAAAGATGGCCCATTTGTCTTGGGATAAAACTAGGGGCAAGATGAATACATGAGGTTCCATCCAGCATGCGTACAGAATAAATCTTAAAATAGGTATTAGTGAGCAGCAAAAAGAAGATAAATTTTTTTGTACTGACGGGGAATGATATCTATAATATGTTAAATGAAACAAAAGTACAGGAATCGTGGCATTTCATGATCCTATTTGTCATTAAAATCCATCTATATTTCTGCTCTGCTCTAGGAGGCTGTGTAGGCTATAGGAGTCACTACAGAGTTACTCTCTACCATGTGTGTGTTTACTAAAAGCTCTGTTATTTGAACACTTTATGGGGCTCTACCACTGGAGTCACCTCTTCAGTCAAAAACTGCTAGATAATTGGAGTAAAGTCTCACCGACTTTTCAGCCTGTGTTGGCTTCCAATTATGATCTGATCTCAGCCTCCTAAGGAGCTAGGATTACATTCATAAGCTACCAGTGACTAGCTTTTATGAGCTTTTAAAAATCACTATCATGGGCTGGGAAGTTGGCTCAGTGGCAGAGTGCTTGCCTTGCATGCAGGAGGCCCTGGGTTCAATTCCTCAGCACCACATAAGCAGAAATAAGCAGAAAAAAGCAGAAGTGGCACTGTGGCTCAAGTGGTAGAGCACTAGCCTTGAGCAGAAGAGCTGAGGGACAGTGCCCAGGCCCAGAGTTCAGGCCCCATGACTGACCAAAAAGAACAAAAAAAATTCACTATCATAATTAAGAAGTACACTATGTTTTTAAAGGTATCCAGGGTTGAAAGCCCCCCTCCCCTCATCCTCTCTCTCACACTCTCTGTCTGTCTGTCTCTCTTTTTGCTGATACTAGGCCTTGTACTCAGGGCGTGGGTACTACCCTTTTGCTTTTTCACTCAAAGCTGGTACTCTACCATTGAACAATAGCTCATGACCTTTCCTGCTCATGCTGGCTTCAAATTGCAATCTCAGATCTTAGTCTCCTGAGTAGCTAGGATTATAGGTGTGAGCCATGGTACCCTGAAGCCTTTCCTCTTCTGCTTATAGTTTCATTCATATCAGTGGCAGAAGGATTCACAGAACTGGCATGCTAGGGCATTCAGAGATGATGAATTTTCCTCCTTGAACAGCACCATTGACTTCAATAAATCATGAACTTTGTAGGCATTATTTTGGTTTTCTGGGAAGTGGCTAAGTTAACACTTTCTGCACATCTAGTTCTAATCCCCAAATTCCCATTTGCTATTTCATATGATGAGAGAGGTGGCATTTACATTCCTCAAGTGACCTGCTTGGAAGCCTCAGGCCTGCAGAATATTCTGGGTACTAAAATGCACCTGGGGCAGAGGGAAAGCATTCCAACAGTGCAGATCCTAAAGAAATAACTCTTCTCTTGCTTCTAGTAAGCCTTCAGAAGTGTATTTACTTGGGCATTTTTCAGAGTCATATAGACTAATTTATTAGTGTTATACAACATCTAGAATTTGCTTTTTTGCTTCTATTCCTGTGGAAATACTTGATATATTTATTTTTAACAAATCCTTAGACCTTAGAATATTGTGATATAACTGTTCTAAATAGTAGGGATATTTTTTTTTTTTGGGTTGATCACAGGGCTTGAAGTAAGGGCCTAGGCACTGTCCCTGAGCCCTTTTGCTCAAGGTTAGTACTCTATTAACCATTTCTGGTTTTTGAGTGGTTAATTGGAGATGAGAGTCTCAGGGGGACTTTTCTGCCCAGGCCGGCTTTGAACCATGATCCTCAGATCTTAGCATCCTTGAGTAGCTAGGATTATAGGCACAAGCCACCAGCATCCAGTTTAATAGTGATATTTTTAAAATATAGGATTGTGATTCAATAAATTTCATTTCTTTTCTTTTCCTTTTACTCCTCTTTCTCTTCCTTTTTCCTCCTTCCATTTTTCCTCCCTCCTTCTCTTCTTCCTCCCTCCCTCTCTCCTTCCTTCCTTCCTTCTTTCCCTTCTGTCTCTCTTTCTGTCTTCCTTTTGCCAGATTAGTGCTGGAGTACACGGCCTGTGCGCATACTTGGCTTTTCTGCTCACATCCTCTGATTTGACTTTTTTGGTGGTTAACTGGAGATAGACTTTTCTGTTCTGACTAGTTTTGATCTTTGATTTTCATATCTCAGCTTCCTAAGTAGATAGGATTATGGTGTAAGCAATAATATAATTCTGGTTGCTTCTAATTCATAAACATGAATATAAAAAAGCAAAATTAAAATGTTTAGGTAATTGAGCTTCACTGGTAAGGAGCAATGCACACACGAGTATCCACATAAATATATATGATATATAAACATTTAAAATATTAATTATATTACAATATTATTAAAATATTATTTTGAGCTGGACTTCAGAGTCTCACACCTATAATTCTAGTTATTGAGATCTGAGGATTGCAGTTCAAAGCTAGCCCAGGCAATAAAGACTGTGAGCTTCTTATCTTCAATTAATCACCAAAAAAGCTGGAAGTGGAGCTGTAGCTCAAGGGATAGTGCCCTGACTTTGATCTTAAGCCCCAGGACTGGCACAAAAAATATTAAATACGTATTTAGGAACTCCTCATACATATATAAAGACACCATTTCCCTCACCACTTGAATGCAAACCATTAAGCTGAAGTGTCATCCTGGGGAGAAATTGCTACTGGAACACTTTCAAAATTTCAGCTCAGCGACTGTTGATGAATCAAGAGAGATTTTACTTACAGAGTAAGTTTACTTTAAATCATGGGCCCAGTGTTTCCAGAGTAATTACAAGTTTTCTTTTTCTTTTTTTTTTTTTTCTTTTTTAAAGAAGTAGCAAAGATCAGTAAGTATACTACTAGGTGTAAACTGCAGAGTACTAACTGGCCCTATAGCCCTTAATAAAGGCCAAGGTACAGTATTATATTGCCTCTAATGCACACTGTAATGAATTTTTTAGATATGATAGCTATAAAATGAGCATTCAATAGAACATAATCAAACATAATTAATGCACTTGTGAAATATCATGGTGAATCTCCTTGGTGTAATGAATACACATTACTAAGATTAGTGACAAGAAAGGAGGTAGGCTGTGTTGGGGTGTGGGTACCTTCAGGGTATTGAGTTAACAAGGGAGAGGATGAATGTGGATAAACATGGTCAAAATACTTACATGTATATATGAAAACAGGTACCATGCAATCCCATTTATCCAACCTTTTTCCCATTCGTTAGGAAATGGAAAGACTTGGAAAAAATTATATTAAGTGAAGTAAGCCAGGCCAAGAAACATAGGTCCCATGGTTGCCCTTATTTGCAATAACTAGTATATGTCTGAGACAAG